GTCATGATACGACGACTGGGCTGCGCAAGCGCGAACTGGCGAGTGGCACGCGGGCACGATCTAATACACACGGTGTTAGTCTGAGTGCGAAGGGAAAGAGCACGCTGTATAGCTATGTACCTAATACACACGGTGTTAGCTAGACAGGGGTCTGGTGAGCATACTACATAATGCGCAAGGGCGACGAAGGGAACTTACTCTGAGTGCGAAGGGAAAGAGCACGCAGAGTGGGGGTGCGAGAGGAGTCCTTATATACTAAAAGGGAGCGAAATTGAAAGTCCGCTAGAATGGGGAAGCCTGCCATAAAGAGGTCCGTGCGTGGGAGCACTACATATGATTGTCCAATCACTATCTACGTATTAGTAGCGCCTAATCTAAGATGTCCACCTTAAGTCCATGCCGGGCGGAACGCCGAGCCAGAGCCACTAGGCGCTTCAACATGCTGTGCACCCGCCGTAGACGACATTGCGGGGCACGATTCATCCATGCGGTACAGCAATCAGGCGCACAAACCAGCCGCGGTGGACGCAGAGGTGAGTAGAGTCATTAAAGGCTGTGACCGGACGTTTTGCGGTATCCGTTGGCCGGTCCAGAGCATTCTCCTGCGAGCTGTTCTGTCCGAGAACAGCTGAACCGACGCATGCCATGGAGCCACCATTCTGAAAACACGTAGTGTCGACATGTCGTCTGTTCTCTTCGCAGCTGGTCAGGCTCGTCCGGGAGGCCGGCGGAATTCCTCTTGCGAAGACCAATGTCCCGCAGACGTTGATGTTTTACGAGTGCGTTAATCCGATGTGGGGCCGAACACTGAACCCATACAGCGCTGACCACACGTCCGGTGGTTCGAGCGTGGCGAGGCTGCGTTGCTCGCTATGGACGGTAGCGTGCTAGGGTGGGGCACCGATCTTGGCGGGAGTCTGAGGTTTCCCGCGAGCTTTTGCGGGATCTACGGCTTCAAGCCGGGACATGGGAGGCTGCCCACAGGGAGTGTTAAGGGTGAGCGATCTTTGAAACTACACTATAACGGATTCATTGAGCTGCGGTATCGCGTAGAGAATCTTCCTGGCCTCGACGCCATTAAGACCATAATGGGACCTATGGGACGGTGAGTCTTGACTCGCCGCGTCGCAAATCTATACGTGGAAAAGCTGACGCACTTAATGTTCGGTCTCCAGCTCAGTGGCGGATATTGAACTAGCCTGCCGTGTTGGTTTTGGGCAGCAGAGCGAGAACTACGATCCGGCACCCATCCTATACCGCGATATCGAGCTGCCTGAGAAGCTCAAATTTGGGTATTACGTCAATGGTAAGAGACATGCCGTCTCTGTACAACGTACATTGAGGGCCGACGATGGCTTCACAGATGGCTTCATCAAGAGCTCACCCGCGTCTCAGAGAGCCGTACTTGAGACGGTGGAGGCGCTGAGCAGAGAAGGACACGAATGTGTCGAGTTCGCTGTTCCAGATGGTGGTCAGACTTTGTTTTGTGGCTTGATTTATTTGTGAGGCGTATTAACATTTGGGCGACAGCGGCCAAGGCCCTCAAGTTTTTCATGTCCCTAACACTAGCCGATGGCAACAAGACCCTGTTCTCTCCGATTAAAGGAGACCTCAGAGTGAGTGCCTTCCTTAGTTTACAATGTTGTCCGAAGGGTTAATCAATGCTCACAGCAAAAGGAGCTGAGAATCCTGGCCTTTGGTCCCGACTTATATGGCTAGTACCTCGCTTACATTCAGGCGGAATAGCCAGTAAACTCACCCTGGGATTATTACGTAGGCTGGGCACGTTTGCTTATCTCATGGGTCCTAAGATATCCAATGGGCGATGCCGTTTTCGCAGACATCATGAAGCTTTGTAAAACCGCCTCTGTCGAAGAATTCTGGTCTACAATCGACCAACAGAAGGACTATTTTCGCAAGTTCTACAAAGAGGTCAATCAAAGTTGCTATATGTATAGTTCCGTTGGTCTCACCGATGATGGGACAGGTATGGGAGAAGTACAAGTTCGATGGTATCATCGCGCCCGTTCTGGCAATCCCCGCGCTCCCCCATGGGTAAGCCTAACTGAACGTGCCGCATTGCGCAGGTCTGACAGCGATAGTTCAGACCCGTGGCTTACATTTCCCCCCTGTCTTCCTCGTCCTTGCTCTACAATATCGTCGACAGTCCCGTCGGCACAGTCCCGGTCACGCGAGTTGACCCAAACCTTGACAGGCTCACAGACGAGTGGAGGAACCAGCCAGCGGCCAGCCCGCCAACGCTCGAAGGTCTGATATACAAAGGCAGCAACGCCTTCTACAATGTTGATAAGATGGCTGGTCTGCCAATTGGAGTGCAGGTCGTCGAGAAGAAGTGGGAGGAAGAGAAAGTTGTGGAGATGATGAAAGTCGTCGACCGTGCCCTTGGAAAGCGGGGCTTTGGGCCTGGCTCTTGGAAAGCAAAGGCACAATAAATACTATTTGTAGACATCCTAGCATTTTTTGTAACTTATGCATATGCGCACCCTAATTATTACCAAGTCGGATTGAAGGATGATGGAGTACACATCCTAGTATGCACGTGGGCGCAGGCATAGACGTCTTAGTCGATACGGTCAGCACGTCTATCTAAGGCTGTAGTTGCTTATCTTCGTGCACAAAATAAGTGTATGGAAGGGTAAAAGCCAGGGCATGCGCACCTGCCAGTGTATGCTTGCACTCATGGTACATCGCAAAGTACGCCGAACATTTGTCGCGGTCATGGTCATTCTTATCCACAAGAGGCCTTGCAGCCTTCTCATATGGACTAGCGGATGTGTATCGTAAGTACCGGATACTGCAGATGACAATGAAACCTGGAGCGTACTCAACAAACTTCAAGTTGGTGTGAAGACGGCTCTTCCGGAGGCTCAAGTTCGACCAAAATAGAGTCGACTAGTGATTATGTGCACGACACTATTGAACTTCTGCTAGTACGATACAGTATTGGGGTTACATTCTGTGAATGATGTGGCAAGTCTCTGCCCTCCGTGTCCGACATGAACGGCAAGTCCAAGTCCAAGTCCAAGTAAACCCTAGTTGAGTAAGCAAACCAACAACCACAGTAAGTTTCTGTTGTTACCTGGCCTTACTGCGTTTGAAACCGCTTGAAGGCGTCTATCATTCCCTCCACAGACGTACTACCTCCGCTTTCAGACATTACAGGTCACTGTCACACGATAATCTTGGCTAAAATTATGCGTACACATAATTTCTTTACAATCTCCGCGAGGTGATTTCACGAAAGCCAGCGATACATCACAAACAAATTTACACCGAAGACACCCAGAGTTCCTGCTCCGGCTTACGCAATGCCCAAGAACTCGAGGTACTGCTGCTCGAAGAGCGGGACGGTGTGGCCGACGTTCTGGGCGAGGATCGCCTGGAAGTTGGGGCCGAACGTCGAGTTCGAGTAGCCGGAAGGAAGGTACGACTCGGAGACGTTCGAGATCGGCGTGCTCGGGTAGCCGAAGACGGTCGTCCACTGCTTGATCTCCTCGTAGAAGTTCTGCGGGTAGAGCGTCGTGTCGCTGTGCCAGTGCGTCAGCAAAGATCCAAGGAAAGATTTGCGGAAGGGAGGACGTACATAGTGCCGTGCCAGACCTGCATCCTGGGGTAGGAGCCGGTGTAGCCGGGGTACGCAGTAGCGATCTTTTGTTGCTGCAGAGCCAGTCAGCTTCATGGTGTGCAACTGCACCCGCGGAGATGACATACCCATTGCTGGCCAGTGAGAATGAGCTGGCCCTCGGCACACTGGGCATTCCAGCTGTCTTCCGCCTCGTTGGGCTCCGCAAAGCAGCCGAAGGCAACACCGGAGTCGACGATGCCAGCCTTGAAGACGTCGGGGTAAGCACCGGCAAGGACGCTGGTCATCATCGCGCCGGAGGACGTGCCGACGGCGAAGACACGGTTTGCGTCGACACCCCAGTTGCTGATGGCGAAGCGTGCAGCGTTGGCAATCGAGAGCGAGTCACTGCCACCGTTGTGCGTCAGTGTCTCGGTGGAAGAGACGTCCCAGCAGGTGCCGGACCACGGCTGGTGGGAGCGTGTGAGCGAAAATCCGAAAATCGCTGAGAAGCGGAGCTTACGGAAGAAGGGAAGATCACGATGTATCCGTAGGTCTCAGCAAGCTGAGCGAACGTGGATCCCTCGTAGTAGTCCTGGGCGGAGCCTTGGCAGTCTGTAACATCCAATCGGTACCCGTTCACAAGCGCAAACTCACATGCGATAGGACTTACAGTGGCTGGCAACAATCAAAGCAGGGTTGGACTGGACCGTCTTGGGCTTGTAGACGTACATTGCAACGTTGTTCGGGTTGGTACCGAAGTTGCTGAACTGGGTGAGGGTGGAAGCAGGGATCGAGGCGAGGCCGGGAGGAGCGGTACCAGTAGATGACGGGCCGCTCGGCTGACTGACTGTAGGCGTGCTCGGCGGTGGCGGGGCGGAGGCCTGTCCGGGCAAGCACTGACTGTAGTAAGCGTTGATTTCAGTGCAGGTCGTGCCAGCAGCTGCAATCCCGGCGCGTCAGTATCCGGAGCACGCTGTGCGAGCGAGGGTCTGCTTACCGCAAACGGTAGAGCCAGCATAGCCAATACCACCGCACTGGCCCCATTCTGCAACCTGAGCAACGGCGAGAGTAACCAAAGACGCAAGGGCGATCGAGAGCTTGAACATCCTGCTTGAGACGGTGACCAATGCGGGGTTGTCGAGTGCTGCAGGAGCTATCCTTTGAACGACATTTTATAGCTCTCTCATATTTTGCAGCCACCTGACCATTCCTGCTGGATTACACAACATGTGGACGCCAAAGCTGCCCCTCTTGTCACATGCGCGGACGTGTAGCCAGCATATTTCCGCAGAAGCGCTGAAAGAGTTTCCCAACTTCGAATGCTTTGGTGGTCATGTGTGGAGCGAACGATAGTAGAATGTTGGAGAAAGTATTCAAGCAGTTAGCAACCAGCTTGAACGATGGGTGCGGAGCGGAGAGGACAAAAATAGCGGCAAGAAGCACAAGGCTCGGATCGTGTTTCTTTGAAATTGATTCGGGACATCGTCGGGTACGGAGACAAGGGTATTGAAGCCATGTCCCGAGGTTTGATTTTGATTTTCAGCCGAATCTTATTGGTTTGAATAGCGGCTGCAACCAGTAGCGCAAGTAGGTCTGTCGTCGAAATCGCCGCAGATGTACCGTAGCTTCGGTGCAATGTATGTCGGAATGTCAAGAACCAGCTGGCGACAATGTCTGTCTACCCACCTGACGGCTTCTTCGTGTGCTTTCAAACATTAATATTCGTAAAGGCCCCGCAAAGACATGATGAACGTACCTATATGGGGCTGCCAAAAAATTGCCCTGTCGAAGGCGACTTGTCCAATATGACAATGACCGAAGCGTAGACGGTGATTTCACTCGGATCTGCAAGTGCTGTTGCGGGTTTACTCATGCCTGATGGACACCACGCTGGAGTGCCACGAGTGCACGAGTACCTCGGGAGCACATAGGGAGAAGATGGAGGCCAGGAAGAAAGCCGAAGCCGGGTGCGGGGTCGTGCAGAGGAACGCCACAAAGCCGGTGACCGATGTGACCGCGTTATTGTCACTCGGGGAGCCACGACACGCCCGCGATTACTTGTTATATACGAGCCCTCCTGACATGTACACGTCGAAACATAACACGAGATCTGATACGGGTACACGGCGCGAATACGCGCAGCGATGGGCCTACGGGTTGTGAGGAGGAAGACCGCCGGCAGCTCCAGTGGGCTCGATTTCCGGATCCCCCGCAGCCAACACCTCCGAGCGACGTTGAATTCGAGCATTCTGTGAGGTCACTAGACGGTCAACCGAAGTCATGATGACAAATTATGCATCAGGGTACCCACCTCTTTAGCGTGGAACTCTTCAAAAGTCTCGCTGACTTGACTGTGTCGCTGCTGAACGTCCTGCTCTTCGAGGTTCTCTCGTTGGTTCATCTCCTACGCAGTCTGTGTTAGTGTGACAAATTATTAGACGGCTTATCACGTACTGCGACAAGTCTCTCCGCCTTTTCGACGTCCGATACTGAGTGGTTATGCTTTATCCCCGCCTTGTGCACGCTCTTCTCTGCTTTAATCCTTGATTTTCCTGCCTTTTCCAAAGCCTTTTCAGCCTTCTCGCTCTCCTTATGGAGGTATGTGTCAGCGTTTGGCCTCGCTAATGTCTATGAGCCATACCTTAATGCTCGCCTTATACAGCTTCTCTACCTTCCGCAGCTCCTTCTTTGCCTTCTCAATCTGCTGCTGGTCGATCTTGGTCTCTTTGGCCAACACCTTCTCGAGCGCTTTGGTCTGCTTTTCAGCCATGATAATCGTGTAGTACTAAGTAGCAGGTGCGTTGTGGTAGAAGGAGAGAAGTTGTTGTGTTGCCAGTCATCCTCGCGAATCCTGGTCTCCATCGAGAGGCTGGCAGGGGCTGACGAACCTGGACACCTTCCGAAAGCATGCTCCGGTGCGCTTGTCGCGTGCTTCGATCCGGCGGGGCGATTTAGCGCCCATAATTATATTCTCATTTCGGCCCGCGCGGTCTAACAATCTTTCTTGTGCTTGACCGAGGCCAAACTTCGCACCGTCTCCGCCCCGCCAGACCGCCTGTAGGCTCGCAGGTGTCGCTTTTGTTTTATGGGCCTTGCTTCAGTCCTCTCCTGGATTCGCAGAATGACTCCCGGAAAGCTCGCCCGACGCGCTCCCTCTCCTGCCGCCTCGGACACACGAGCTGCTAAGCGAAGAAAGCTCGAGTACCCGCCTCTCACACCAGATGACTATCGGAACGGTGTTATGCTTGCGCCTATGGTACGCTCTGGTGCTCGTGCGTACTTGCCTAATGACACTCGGACGAAGACTCATCAGTCGCATAGTGCCAACACGTCTCTTTGCTCTGAAGCACGGTGCAAAACTTGTATGGGGACCTGAGATGGTAGACAAGGCGATTTTGCATGCGGAACGGGTCGTTGATCGTACGTCCCCTTGAGCACTCAATATAATTTTGTATGCTGACTGGAGTCTAGCTACCACCGGAGTCGTCTCTTACATGGGAGTGTCAAAAGCCATGTGGACAACCCACCCCATCGAAAAGCCCTTCCTCATCTACCAAATTGGCTCAGCGGATCCAGATCTCGCGGTGCAAGCAGCCAAGAAGGTCATGAACGACGTCTCCGGCATCGACCTGAACTGCGGGTGCCCAAAGCCATTCTCGACACACGCCGGCATGGGTGCAGCGCTCCTGACGAACCCCGACTTGCTGTGCTCGATCCTCACTGCTCTTCGCGAGAATTTGCCGCCAGAGATAAGCGTCTCTGCGAAGATCCGACTGCTACCTACGCAAGAGGACACCCTCAAGCTCGTGGAACGGATCGTGAACACGGGCGTGAACTGCTTGACGGTGCACTGCCGGACACGGAACATGCGCCCGAGGGAACGAGCACTCGTCGGGCGGCTGGAGGAGATCGTGAAGTTTGTGAAGGGGCTGGGCAAGGATGTCGCGGTGATCGAGAACGGCGACTGTGTTAGCTATGAGGACTCGAAGCGGATACGGAAGCTGACTGGTGCGTCTGCTATTTATTCAAGTGCGTGCCAGGCTGATGCGAGATGCAGGCGCGGACTCGTGCATGATTGCTACCGCCGCTGAAGCGAACCCTACGGTCTTCTCCGCGCAGCCGTACATCGACCTTGAGACAACCTTCGTCCCATCATACGTCCGCCTTGTACGTACTGCAGATTCCATGCCCCATTCGTGCCGCTAACGTCATGTCTCTGCAGTGCAAATACCTCAACAACCACTGGTCCGGCACGAAGTTCTGCTCGAGCCAGTTCCGGGGTGAGCACGTCAGCGGGAACAAGTCCACGCAGACCGCCATGAAGAACGCGATCGCGCAGGCCAAGAGCTACGACGACCTCGAGAAGCTCGTCAGCCCCTGGACGGGCGAGCGGGAGTTCGAGGAGATCGTGAGTGCCATCGAGGCGCGTGACAGGGACCGGCAGCCCAAGATCGAGGACGACGCACCTGCTCTCTCAGAGGCGACCTCCTCGTGTACTGCCGCCGCTGCGGCTGTTGCTGCTGAGACCGCAAAGGCGACTGAGCGGGAGAACTCACCCGCTGCGAGCGAAGGCGCAGAGTCGGCTACACTCTCGACAGTTTCGTCGCAGGACCTGAGTACCGTCAAGACACCTGTGCAGAGCCACTCGCCCGATCTATCGCTGCTCCGGGCACCGCTTGTCCCTGCAAACGAGCTGCGGATACCCGTGCCTGCAGCTGTATCTGGCGAGGACGTCCCGACCCCGACGCCATCTCAGCAGTCGGCGGAGGTTGCGTAACATACACCCCATTCGCATGTCTTTACCATCAATACACTTGCATATTACCCAATGCTCTTTGAGCAGCCAATCCCGACCCGTACGAAAAGAAAGCACGATATCCGATAGAGCTGTATGCGAAAACATGTGCCCAAAGCATGTACCCAAAGCATTGTGAAATATCTCGTGAAGGGGTCGTAATGCGCCCGAGAACCCGCCCAGCTTTGTCATACTGGCTTGCAGTACACCGTCCATGGCCGTACTTAGACGACCATGGCGGCGCCGGCGACGATACTGCTGAGGAACGCCGCGAGCTGCAGCGCACCGCCCATCTCGAAGCCACCGACGGCGGCATTCTTACCCGTCGAGCTTGCAGATGCGGACGAGGAGGTGGAGGTGCCCGTGGCCGACGCGGCGGTGAAGGTGTGCCCGGCGAAGGAGGTCGTGAAGCCCGAGGCGGTGCCCGTCGCGAGCGTGATCGCGGAACCGCCGACGGAGGTGACTTCGACGACGGGGACGTTGTTGGCGGCTGTACATGTGCCGTTAGCGCAGCGTCGGAGAGGGCATGGGGAGGAAGTACGTACTGACGATGGTGGCGAACACCTGCGACGTCGCGGTGCCAATCACCTTAGTCGCGTCCTCATAAACGGACGAGGCTAGGGATGGAGGATCAGCCTCCGTTTGCGAGAAGAGGTACGGAGGGGCTCACCAGTGGCCAGGGCAAGGGCAGAATCCACGACAGACGTTGCCTCGTCGAATGCAGACCCGACAGCGGAGGTCGCGTGATCAAAGACCGAGTCGACGTCCGAAGTGAAATCGTCGAAGACTGGGGGCCTTGCGTCAGTGCCTCCTCAGCGGCCAAAAATACGTATTACTTACGACCAGGTGCAGGCGCGGCGTTGACAATAGCGACAGAGACGAGAGCGACAGCAATGACTTTGGCAGCGAACATCTTGAGAGGATAATGCACTTGTCTTGAAAAACGAAAGGGCAAAGAAACGAAAGGACGTATAGCACCAGGCTAGTACGCAACGAAGAGCAGAAAGAAAGAAAAAAGTCTTAACCCGAAAAATGAAGGGAGGGTTGAGCGACTGTCCCCTCGTCCCGGGCAGGCTTATATATGCTCTCCTCGGGAGGCACGCGTAACTGCGATTCGGGCGGGCGCACCGAGGACGCACTGCCTTGGGCATCGGGTCATCATACGCCTACCTCATGCTGTACGCTATCTCAGTGTGGGTTGCTGAGGACCGCAGATGGGGAATCAAAACAGATTGGTGTCTCGAAGTGCCGCGCGGTGACGGGGGCTGTTCTTCACATATGTGCGTGGTTTATGCGCACCGCTCCCTGCATTGCCCGCTGAAACCACGAAAGAAATTAGCGTAGTATTGCTATAACACGTCGACAGTACGCGCACCTCGCGCTACGATGCAAATTCGATGTGTCTGTGGGCTCAAACAGAATGCTGTGAATGACGCACCTGGGCGGTGGAGACAACCTGAAACACGGTGTCGAACGCTCGTCGTTGATCTTTTAACACGCTGATGGCGCATCAGTTTGATCTACGTCCTCGCGACATCCGATAAACCGAAGCGCGGCGCCCGAGGCGTCAGCTGCCTGCAGCGCTCGAGACGAGCATAAATGTGCGAACTAAACAGCTGGAGTGTACGGCGGTACATCTAGCCAGCAGCAGAGTATTAGAATACTGGTGTGAAACGATAGTCACCAGGACGTAGGATGTAGTCGCGCAAGGTGATCAATGATACGTGTCATGTGAGAATATCTGTGTAATTGAGTGTTCCACGGTGCTAGTGTCCGGTTAAATCAAGTGATGTAACGAGAGGGGTCGTAAAAGTCGTGTGTGGAAAGGGTCCGACGATTGTAGTTGTGCAGTGAGGTGGAGAGCGCAGTGAAAAAAACAGGAAGTCCAAGCAAGCAATAAAATGTTGGTTAAGTACCGTGTACGATCTATAAGACAGCCAGGTATACGTGAATGTCGTAATGGCATGATTCTCGTGACTCCAACAGCGAGAGCTAGAGCGACCGAAACGTCTGAATGTCCCGGACGACATCGAGCTCAACGCCTTGCAGCGCACAAGCGATGCGAAGATCGGGGAGTTGCATATGCCGCTCATCCTCCGTCCAGACGTGCATCGTGATTCTTCTCAGAGCCAAGCTCTTGTTGACGACATTGATGACGGGCTCGAGTACGTTGCGGTCGTTCAGCGAGAACGCAAAGTGCTCCAGCGACGGAGGAAGTTGTCGCTTCGCGTTGTAGGCTGTCCAGAGATCCTCAAGACGCAGCTCGCGGAGGCGTGTGCACTGTGCAAGGGCGAGCGAGTATTCGACAGATGCGCACGAAGGCAGGGCGAGCGATTCTAGCGTGCCGCAATGCTCGAGCAATAGATGAAGGAGCAGCTCACACTCGGGCACGCGCTTGAAATCGAGCACGTGCAACGTAGAGTCGCGTAGGAGCCAGTTGACGAACTCGAGCGAAGGTTGACAGCTTATCCGCAGCTCATCGATGGCGCGCGGTGGTGGGAGAGGAAGCGCGGGAAGCACAGGCGGCGTGCCGGAGATGTTCAGGGACGTCACAGAAGGGAATGCCTGCAGAAGCTGCACGAGCGCGTGCGCATTGTCTGACCAATTATCAAAGTGGAGAGTGGTAATGGACGGTCCGGTCTGCAGCAGAGACAGTACATCAGCCGCAAACAGCTGAGGTGATCCCTTCAATTGTTCCTTAGCAGATTCGCACCCATCGTGATAAACGGCAAGACTGAGCTCGGCAAGGTTGGGGCATCGCACCACTGCCTGTGCGAACGCATTGCGCAAGATACCACGAGGTTGCTTCGTGTCGATGACAATGCGAAGGCACTCGACCGTATCGGCGAGTGCTCTACTGCGTGGGGTGCTGCCCGAGACCGCATGTATGAAACCGTTGAGGGCTGGCGCGCTTGCAAGGGTAACACGGCGATAAAGAATATTCTGCGAAGGGGATAGCCAATCTTTGCAGACTAATGCGCAAGCTTTGAGAGTCTTCTGGGCGTCGCTGTTTTCGTAGGCTGCTCCCAGTATGGAGACGACGATCTCAGGAGGTATGGTAGGTCTTGGATGAGCCTGGCCGATGTGCGGCGCCCTCGCGGAATTAGGCTCTGAGGCTTCGCCCTCGCCACGATCAAACAGCTAATATTACCACGAATCAGATGTACGTGTTCCCAGACGGAGATTAACGACTTACACACGCAGCGATGCCATAGAAGATGTCGAATACACCCATCTCAGCGAATGAACGCACTGGCAGGAACTAGCTTCACCAAGCTCTTGCCCGGAGGCGGAGGGGGAGGCGGGTAAAATCTGGTCATCTTGGCCGGGGGCCTTTTATAAGGCTGAGGCGTGCGAAACTGGGCTGGCATGAGAGTAAAACGAACTGGGCGAAGAACAGCGTCGGGTACTATGTAGGCGCCTGGTGCGACGCCACCAGCTTGGAATTGATCGCCGCGGGTGCGTTTTTAGCCCGTGCCTTCCTACCACCGTCCACCACGCCCAACACGAACCCACACCTCGTAGGCTGACGACGTGTACCCGTCCTCATTCTATTCGCGCCGCAGTATGTCGAGAGTGTCATCGCTTAAGCCTTCCGCCTCGGGTACGGCACCAGGCTACGTATTAGCGGCGCGGCGACCAAGCCGCCCCGATGCGGTCAATTAGCCGGGCTTACTTACAATGCTGTCCAAAGTCCTCTCGGAGCAAATACACGCAGAGTCATAATTCCCAGTTTGCACGCTTGCAAACGCGCGGAATGTGCGAGGGCAGCGGTGTCTCGATGAACGCCGACCTATTGTTGGAAGTTTGCTTGACAAAAGCGGGCTGCGCAGCTATGTCGCGTCTCCGACCTTCACCGACGCTCCCCAGAAGCTGATGGAGCTGAGCCACGACAGCTCAGTTTTCGGAGACCACTCGATGTTCTCTGGCTGTAGACTGCAGCGGATCTATCATGCGTCAGCCTCGCCGCAGCGACTCGAGTCAAGCATCCTCTTTGCGGGCGGTCACGAGCACTGAGGTGCCCATGGCTACACGCCGTCCCGTCAGTCTGCTTCCCTGCATTCTCGCAGCTGTCATCCTTTCATCAGTTCCCTACTCTACTTCCGTCTGCTTCTCCCGACCTGCCCGCTCGATCAACTCTCGCTTGAAAAAGCATTACTATGCTCCGTCTCTTCCGCCTATCCGGCCCTGGTGTTTTCTCCGACGTTATCATACCAAACGTGTGCACACATACCTAGTATTCGAAACAGACGAACAACATGCCACCGGCTTTGGGCTGCCAGAACTAGGGGATTTAGTAGGGAGAGGTGTATGGACCGATGGGCGAGTACGTCTCAAAGAAGCTATAATCTGGACTCGACCTGTTAACATTTTTTCAAGACTTGTCCCGACGTGATTGGCTCGCCGCGTCCAACATGCTACATGGAAGCGTCTGCCCCTGTCATGGCAAGGTCGAGCGACGTCCGCATACAGACCGTGATGTTCGCCGCATCTGCGCAGCTTGTGTGCATTGAAGTCAATTGTAGTGATCTGAGGGCCGGAACAATTGCAAGTGGTCTCTAAAAGTCGCTCCCACCCCGTGGCACAAGAGCTACCGATCATCCTGTAACAGTGAGATCTGAGAAGCTTGCTGTACTGTAAAATGCTAGGAGTATGGGATGTGGAGATGGACATATGGTCGCCACTGCTAAGTCTTGACTACGATGTTGGAGTGCCTACAACAAATTGCGGGCGGAACATGGGATTAATCACAATGCACAGCCAGGATATCCGGATTAAGGTCTATCGCCAGACGGCGTCCAGTCTTGTCCAACCGGTTTCTAAAGCCACGACCCCTCTGCGGGCTATTCGAAAGGGACGTCAGCCAGTGATACTTGTTGTGAGCAATACAATGCGGATTTCCGATACGACCATCATGTTGCGTCCAGCATGGCGGTTGACCTCCCAGACTCATGTTATTCATCTGTACTGCCCTCCATTTCCTTCACGCCTCTGGTATCGTCGCACGACGGTCTGGAGGGACAGTTTTGGCCTATATTGATGACTGTACCGGATGAATATGTGGATGAGACGGTGTCAATGTGTTCATGAGGGTCTTCGTATTGAGGTCGGTGTGGTGATTGGAGTACTAGTCGAGGCGTCTGTACGCTGTCGTACCGCAACGTACGCTCGCAGTGCGACTTGGTGAGTGCGACAAGGGTGACCACTCCAATTAGGTAGATGCCCTGGGTTCTGGTAAGCAGAGAATTCGTTGTAGTATATTGTCACCCACAATGAGCTGTACAAGCCCCGGCTTTTTGAGAGCTTCCATACCTATGATGAATGTAACGATTGGTCCCCTAGATCCCTCGAACGAGTTTCCGGCCGTATCTACCACCATGAAAGTCTGTGTGTCGGTGTAGAGAGGTGAGACTGCGAATGGTACATGCGGCTCGTAAGTATTCTCACCCACAACCCGCAGTATAAAACTCCACTGTCAAAGAACAGTTTCATCAGTTTCTCTGCTTGGGTGAGTGTGCTTCCTGAGCGCAGGTCGTGCTTTATCATTCGTCTGTGACACCTGCGATAGTCTGGATGGTCGGATAAAGTGGGCTGTAGGCCAATATCTCACCAAGCTTTGTATGATATCAGCATAGTTGCCCATACATTAGTGATCCACGACAAAATGAAGGCCACCGCACCGGGCTTGTCTTGGAACTCGGTACCTGATGTCGAAATCGAAAATGGATGACAGCTGTCAGATGCACTCAAAGAGGAGGTGACTGAGGGGTGCTGTTACATCAGGCCGGCTCAATACTGAGCTCAAACGTCATCACTGATGGTTAAGACCAATAGAGCCATAGATACACCCTGGACAGTCCTCGAGCGGGCCCAGACATCCCAGGCTCGCCACAGCACAATGGCGTCGCTGAGAATTATCTGCAAGTGGCGAGTAAATACGCAGAGTTTAGTTGTAAAATTTGCACATAGTACGTTGGTCAGGAGTAGAAATGTGGAGGGACAGTCAATGTACCATCCTGTCGACGGCTGTACAAGCTGAAGGCAGTCAGATTCTATGCTCCCATTTACGTAAACGCACACCCCGGCCGGAGGGTAGTTCAGCATATAGGCACCGCCGACCACGTCCATGTTTTCGTATAAAATGGCGCGTTGCTCTGAGATCCTTCTCATCGCGATTATACAATGGGTTAAGGCCATTGTATACATGGCGATGCACGCGAACGTTTGGCATGCGACTGCAACCGACTTTAATCCCTTCCGCGCGAGAAGGCAAATCGCTAACATCGCGAGCGGAGTAGAGGCACCTAATGATAATTCGTGTCAGAATTCAGGTTACATAGCTCGACGAGGGCAAGGGAACACACCAAATATTGCAGCTTTTAGTGCCAGGCCCGCCAACCACGAGTCGATGGTGTAGCGACTGATGAAGGCTGCAGCAACCGCCTCAAGATAATTTTTCAAGGCAGACGCCGACACTGAGTTGTTACTAGAGTTAGTGTCAAGTACGTTTGAAACAACTTCGGAGGTCATCATGGCACGCAGGAGAGCGGAATGTAGTGGTCCTACTTTATATGCTGGATGCAAGTTAACAGTCATGAGCTGAATTTAATCACAGCACAGACCATACCTTCCATTTGCAGCTATAATCGTGCGCAATTTGCGTGCTATTCCATCCATAGTGGGCATGGATATAGATTGATATATCTGACATATCAATACATGTTGCTTCCAACCGTGGATGATCACGCGAGAGCGATAACGTCTCCACAGCTAGACAATGTTGTTAATAACCAAAAGATCCGTCTAACAACGGGCCACAGAATACACAAACTGAACCACGAAGGGTAAAAACTACTTTGCCCTGTCATATGCATACACCGACTGCCCTCTTGGCCACTCCAGCTTGAGCTGATTGATAAACGCTCGCGCATCCTGGAGAGTGATGGTGAGTGCCTACAAAGATCGTCCACTGATGCTGTACGCATAGATACGCATGCATCAAAAAATATGAAACACGCTTGCATATCGACCTGGAACAAGGGATGTTTTATGATCCTTGGAGTCATTGCCCTTGTGGTTATCGTCGATAACTAGTGCGCAGGGACACGCCCCACTGAGGGCAACAGATACCCCTCATGAAACTTCCTGGCCGCCAAACAAGTCCTCGTTGCTACCGTTACTCTTGACGTTGCGGTCAATTACCACAATGACGGACGTCGAATCATGCGAGCTATAGAAGCTATATTCCTCCGTGCACAAGCGGTCATCTTCAGGAGTATCGTATGACGCACCATGTGCGGGTTGGTCTCAAGAAGGGAGCCTTGGGCTCGAGGGGAACCTGCCTGAAGTCTTCATGGGACTCTCTTAAAGCTTTACGCACTGAGGGTTTCCCGAGTCCTGATCCTAGACTGTTTATGGCGCGTCCTGACGCGGCTCGCACTGTTGAAGAAATTGGCTCCAGCCTTGGGCTTGGAGGCCTGGAGGCTTGGAGTATTATCGAATCCACAATCTTTAGCAACCAAGATTTCGGAACACGGAGGGCGATACGAACAAGAACTACTTGGTCACTATCTGGGTCGCAGACACGACGCAAAGGGCACGCGAGAACGCGTCATGCGAGGTCATATTTTGGAGGCCGGACGGCGAGATCAAAGACTACGCGTCGAAGTAGTTGGTAGGACTTGGTGGGCGAGTGCTTTGCCGGCCATCCGGTGGCACTGTCCCAGGTCTCACCAAAACGAGGACTACGTCACTTAACAGATGCTGGAGTTCGGCAGGAGTTTTGACTCTCGGCGATGGGGCACACGGCCAAATGAGACATGGGACACCAAGGCCTAAGGGCAACAGCTTTAAAATCGCAGGATCAATTTATAAATGTTGGGCGTGAGAACGCGACTTCTCGCAATTACCTAGGGTTATATAAGTAGCTCGCGCCGCAGCAATATCTGTAGTCTTTCAAGCCTAAGTGCGCATAAATTGCTCGTGGTAGGAGGCATGAAGACATGTTCAGCAAAGAGAGATCGACAGCAAGACGAGAATACAGAGCTAAAAAGGAAGAATTACTTAGGTCTGGGTGGCCTTCTTGCCTCGGACCTTCTTTGGTGGGGCAGGCTTCTTCTCTTTCTGGGAAGCGAGGATGGCGGAGGTGCGAGCGACGGCAGCCTGAGAACAGGCGTGTTCAGTCAACGCATTGTCACAAGAACGGAGCGAAGAGACGACAGAGGGTGAAGTAAACGAAACAAACAAAATGGAAAATATATGAAGTGTGAGTCCCAAAGAGTCGGGCGAACGCGGGGAGCATCGAACGATACCCGATAGCGACATGGAGCGTACCCAGTAGGGATTTGATCGGTCCCCACCAAGCCATGCGATCTTGCACTCATGTCCACACCTCACTTTCGTATGGCCTTGCGGCAGTCCAGTGGGCTCTAGGTGGTGCAGGCCTATGTGGTCTTCTGACTCGGCTACTGGCTCCCGTAGACGAGAATTCCGTACACAAACAGAAAAGGTGGAATTAAAGGATGAGCACGAAAATACTCACAGTCCTCAGGTCAGCGCGATAGCCGCGCTTGGCGAGCTTAGCGGCTACACCAACCGCACGGCGAGAGCCAGAGCGGTTGCGAATGGTGGAGGTGGCATACGCTTTCTTGACGGTATGGGGAGAGGCACCCTTCTTGCGGGTAACGATCTGGACACCAGCAGCGGAAGGGGTGATGGCGATGGTCTAATACACACAGCTAAGTATGAAGCCTCAAAGCATAACTTGCATCGAGATGCACCTTCTTGTTAGCAAGGCCGGAGTACTTGAACGAGTGGATGTTGGTCAAGTTGGCCTGGAATTAACGCGTCAATATAATGCTCTGGGTGCGCAGAGCTTGCCGGATCTACTCGCCGCTTCACGCGAGAAGACGGGACCTTCGGCCGCCCTCTTCACGATGAAGGAGTTGTTTTTCTAAGGTTTTAGTGCTCCTGTCAGCGACAGCAGCCTAGCAGAGCGACAAGCAAGCGTTACGAACGCGGAGAAGAAGCCACTGGAGGTCGTCGGACATTTTGACGGTCTTGCTATGGTACGCTTGGATGTTGCGGACGAGTGTGTTTGGTGGCTGAGCGGAACTGTACAGTGCCAAACAGAAGCAAACAAAAGCGCATCATCGCCGTTTCAAGTACAGTAGCAACCAGACCACACGCCAGATACATAACAGCAGCAAGCAGATGAAGAGAGATAAGATCAAGTCTGCTTCTTGCGGCTGCCTGCACCCTTCTGCAACGCCTTCATGTGTGCCGCCTTCTCGCGATTCTTGTTCTTAACGTTGACAGTCGAGTAGAAATTTGTCGGCTTCTTTTTACTGGTCTTCACGCGAGGCTCTTTCTGGGACGCCACTGGCTTGTCGTCTGACAAGTTGCATGATTAGAGTTAACATCGTCTGCAAATGAAAGACAAGGGAATAACAAACCTTCGGCCACTCTCGCAGATCCATCGTCCAATTTACTAAACACAGTTGGGACATCCTCTGATGAAATATCGCCCTTGAACACATCATTCCACGCTAGCTCCTCCTCTTTCTCCCGGCCCTCATTTTCGACATCATCATCTCCGCCCACGCTCTCCTCTGGGCTCACTTTGAAAACTCCAGGCGCCGCATTCTGGTCCTCCTCGTCCAGAGGCTTGATGTCCTCGAGAACAAATGTATTCTTCTGGATAATGGAGCCAAAGTTCTGCACCACACCCGGGACGCGTTGCTCCTCCTCGTTGCGAGCCTTCGCCTTACCCCCCACGCCCTTCTTCCCCGCCTTCGCCTCTGCCTTGTTCAGCCCCTCAGGCCTCTCGGGTGGGGGCACGAAGAAAGGAATGCGGCCACGCACCCAGTCGCTGAGCATGATCTTCGCTACCGAGTCAAGGTCAGGTTCGCCCCCCTTGAGCAGGCGGCCCTTCATACGAGCCATCTTGTCGAGGAAAGTCTCTGCGGGCCAGCCTTGCGAAGGATCGTCAGGGTTTGGCAGAGCGATGCCGTAGGTACGGGAAAGATAAATGGGTTTTACACGCTCCATGAGAGCGGGGATATGTTCTGAGGGTGTGGCGAGGGCTTCAACACGGACAACACCCTTTAAGACCGTTGAAGTTGTAGAGTCCTTAGCTGAGGTAGGGACGATACCGGGGCAGTCGATCAAGTAGATGCGTTTTGTGAGCGTGATATATTGCCAGACCTATCTAAAGAAGTCAGTAGAAGTCCTTTACATAACATATGGGATTTGCCTTTGTCTCTCCGGGTACGGGAGCAACATTGCAAACCTTGCTGCTTTTAAGGGTATTGATGACGCTGCTCTTGCCAACGTTGGGGTATCCAATGAGACCGACAGAGATCTGCTTCTTGTCCGAGTGCAGCTGGGAGAATTGACGTAGAAGCTGTATCAGTGAGCCCTTGCCGAACGAGTGGTTAGGTGAGGCGTGGAAAGCAAGAGTGGGGTATCGAGGCGTGAGGTGCTGGACGTATCGTGCGGTCACCCAGTTTGGAACGAGGTCGCACTTATTGAGGATGAGAACGACCTGCTTGTGTGCCTTCTCTTTCCGAATATACTCGAGTACACTCTCGCAGAGCGTACCCATGGGATCGCGGGAGTCGAGCACGTGCAGGATAACGTCGGAAGAGTCGATGACTTTGTACAGCTCGCCGTAAATGCGGCGGGAAGTGCCCTTGGCGTAGATAGGCTCGATAACGTCAGAATATGTGGGGAACTCGACAGCAGAAGTCGATGCGACAGGCTCTACGTCCACTTGGTGAATATTCAGCTGGAACGCTATGCGAAGCGTGCGTACCTCCATCCGCATCAGTAACAGCAGCCTTCTGCTCGGCCTCATCAACAGCAGCACTACTAGCTTTGCTGAGATCTTCAAAAGTACCAACATCCAGCCGTGGCTTCTTGCGCTGCGCTTTGGGACCGAAGGTGTCTTGGAAGGGTTCAGTCTCAACGACGTGAGAGCGCTGCAGAGATAATGACAGATCAAGATCATTGAATTCGTTATAAGGAAAAAAAATGCGCACCTTGCGGAGGTTCGGATTAGCGGCATCGTCCAAGAGAGCCATGGGCAGCTTATTGCGGCGGAGCAGGACAGAATACGGGTCATGTTGCTTGCCTGCCAAGCTTGTGCGGAAGTGGTCAAGAGCCTTTTGTGAAATCACCCGAGTGTTACCTACGACGCGGGTTCAATGTGTCATACGATTAGAGCAGCAGACTTAGCACACACCGAACCACCTTCGGTCAGGCTGCACCCGCCCTGGCTTGGTCTCATCTTCTCCTTTCTGAAACGCCGCAGCCTGTACAATCTTTCCGTCCTTGTCACGAACAGCTTTTCCACTGTTGAGCATCTTTAGCCTGGAGACCTGCTTCGCATTGCGGTAGAAATTCTCGCCCTTGGCCTTCTGCAGCGAGATTCCAGAGGACAAGGACGAGCGGGTCTTGGAACCTGTACCGGTGTTTTTCGAGGATGCCATGATAATAGAAAGTGAATGGGCTAATTGAAGAGTCAAAGAATGCTCCGCAGAGGCGGAGGTCACCCGTGAAGGTGGATGTGTGCTTGATTCAAAAATTCGAGATCGCGCATTTCTGCTTTGGGAAAGGCGGGGTTTTCCCACGCACTTCGCTCAAGCGCTAAAGGCTCCGAGTGTTCGTGTACGCATGTGAATAAATGCAGGCAGATATTCGTAACTTAGTACAGTTATAAGGCCTCGCGCTTCACTCGTCAACGGTCTCCTCGTCTCGCTCTATGTCGGTCTTCGACTTCTTACGAGCACGCTTCTCTTCAGGCTGTTCTTCGAACACCGCCTCCGAACCGGCAGCTCCCACGTCCTCAAAGTCAACACCAGCCTCCTTAGCAAGGGCTCCTATATCGTCCTGCTTCGCTTTCTCCTCGGCCCTTTTGGCATCATAGTCTGTCATGGTACTCTCTGCGAGCTTACGCTTGGCACCCGTGCCCACGGCCGCGATATTCTCCAACCTGTCTTCGGTCAGAGTGTCTGTAGCCGCTGTCTCGTTTTCGGACACGTCCTTGTCGTTTTGTTCATCACCGCTATCACCCTCGTCAAGAGCTTTCATCGGGTCCTAGACACACCGAAAGAGTCTAGCGCATATACTCAGGTGAACAGCAGAGATACGCACATGGCCCCAGTTCTTCAGGCTAACCACGACACTCATCAGCATTCTCATCCGTTCTGTCCACCTGAAAACATACCTGATAGTGCTCTTCGTGTTCTCGAGCTCCTCCTGCGTTTTACTTTCTTTCAAACGGTCCTCTTGAGCTATGTGCCGCTTGTCATAGCTACCCAAAGTCAGTATACGAGTAGACAAACGTTGTCAGAATGTGTACTTCACCTCACGACCTTGCGCATGTGCTCGATATCTTCCTGATGGGACAAACGTATTAAACTCTCATTGAATGCGTTACGACCATGAAACACGACTCACATCGTCATACTTCTCGGGATCTTTTGTCGGGTTCTTCTTCAAAATCTCGACAATCCTGTGCCCACTCTCGAAGCCTGCGCCAGTGCCGGCGGCCTTGCTCTTCGGATCGTCGAGCCATGCCTGGAGCTCCTCGACGGTCATATTATTCAGGAGGTTGAACTCCTTGATAACCTCTTCCTTGGGTTTGGTCATATTGGCAGCGGTGGTAAAAGAGAAAGGGCAGATAAACGAGAGCTGGCTTGCCTTCCAGGCTTATATACCTGGACATCAGCGAACTGACAGGAGTTGAAGGCCCTGTATCATGGAGCATGACGTGTGGAATGTTGGTCGCCCAAGAAGAAGTACTTGTGCTTGAGTTGGCCCACCAAAGAGCTTGTATGCGTAAATTCACGACCTACAATCACATTACACTTAATGTACGGAACGTGTAAATACCAACTGCTCGAGTAGCTTCCGCAATCATCTGAATAAATACGCCCATGTCTTACCACAAGCTAAGTCAGTGATGAGGCCCATTGCAGATGGCGACAAAACTCACCCTATATCAAAGTGGCAATAATTTATGAAAGCTACCACCAGTCCCCGTACCACCATGGATGACAGTCTCCTCCATCCCACGTATAAACCTTGTCGTCGTCGCCTACGATCATGCGCGCGTACTGCATCCACGCGCCATTATATGCACGCTCGACGAACCATTTGACGAACGGGTGACGCAGCACCCATTTGAACCAGACATAGAAGTGCCAGACGTACGCGGTGATGACGCGTGGATTCACATAGATGCGTTCAAGACCCATAATGCGGCGCATGTCGTACGGGAGGAGAAACGACTCGGAGTGGAAGCAGCCCTCACCGCGCGGCGCGGAGCGGAACTTCAGGGGAGGGGTTAGCGTTGGCGATTCGGCAACCGTGTCCTTGAGCGGGTGCGTCGGTGGCGGGAGGTGTCTCAGGGGCGATGTTGACAAGGTGCGATTCGAGCGAAGGTGGATGGGCAGGACGGGATCGGCGACGAACGCCACAATGCCGTTCCAGCACGAGAATACTGGCACGGGAGAGTCGGTCTTCATGGCCTCGTAGTCTGCCGCGTCAAAAAAGTATGGCCAGATGCCTGCAGCGAGGTGGCCGATGCGGTCTCGGAGGACCCACATATCGTAGGCACCGAAGTGGCCAAAGTCGAGAGCGCATGCCATGTCGTAGTTGCCGTCCGCGGTCTCCAACAACTCGATGAGACTTTCTGGCTCAATGAAAACGTCGTTCGAGAAGACGACCTTGTCATATCCGCCCTGGTCCACAAGAGGTTCCAGAGCACGGTTCCGCACTGCGGCCAAAAAGTCAATGCGGTTATTCCAAGACATATCTGGCGGGCGCGGAATCGCTGTATCGGAAATGAGGATGCGCCTGTGCACGTTGCGCTGGGCCAAGGCTTTGTCAAGCTCGCGGAGTAAGTCCGGGGTACCGTCACTCGAGTTGCTCTCTACGACCGACACGTAGACATTGTTCGCGCCCAGATATGTTATCACTTTCAGCATAGTGCTCGTCCAGTACGGCAGGACATCCTGGTTATTGTAAAATGCGGCCGCGATGAATATTTTTTCGTCCTTCGCGTAACCCGTAGGGTCAGGGTTCTTGTGGGAAAGCGCTTTCTGTAGTGCTGGACGCCACCGAGTGTCGTTTGGCTGTTCGTAGTTGCTGTATTCGTGATAGCCAATGAAGACAAGCACGACGTACACGAGAATTCTTGTCCACCAGAAGACGGAATAGGTATTGATACAGTGTGAAGGTTTGGACTCCCTACGAGGTGGCGAACTTGATCTGGGAGAGCCTAGAGGCGTCGTCGGGACAGCGTCCTCGCCCTCTTGCTGCCTGAGGAGGCTGTAGCCTTCTTCCTCTACATCATGACTCGTCCTCCGACTGTTTGGAGCGCATCGCCTATTTCTCCTGTTCATCAACCACACGATTCCCTGGAGACCCGCCAGCCACACGAGCTGCAAGAGTGCGAAGACGGGGATAACGGCGAGGAAGAGCACCCATGCCGTCCAAAGCTTGGGGAATCCCGGCTCCCAAATTCCACAGTATTTGCCGCACCAAATCCCGGTAGCGATGTGGAAGAGGAATGCGAAGGTAATGGCCTCTGCTACGCCAGGGAACTTGAGGACCGCAAATCCAAAGCGGCCTCCCCGACGCACGACCCAATTGACATGGCCCAGCAAGCGTAGCATGAGCTGCTTCGACATCATGCCACGCTTTGTCCGCCGACTCGGAGCGCGTCGTCAGTTGATAAACACGGGACGTCGAGCGAGAAGGCGGGGGAGAGCTGGGGGCCCGTTGGAAGATCGGGTGGGGAAGCAGAGTCGTCAGAGCTGCGGCGCTGGAAGAAGACGGATAGCGGTCGTTAAGCTCATAATGTGCAGGGCGCGCAACATCCAGATTCTCTCGGTTGGCTCTTCCCTCCCTCGGGTACAGCTGAAAACCATGTAGCAACCTTCACAATGTTAATATATGAGCACATTGTTGCTGACTTTCATAAAGGAACAACGAAGGGTGGAATTTTCTCTGAGTTTTGCATTTTCATGGATTATGAGCTTTAGCAGCCGTGGCCGTCTTTTCCGCGCAGATTCCGCGCAGATGGGAGAAGCGTCTGTTGGACACTACCAAATTGGGATCTATACAGAAGCATCGGTTTGGGGTGACGCGTACCGCTATTGAAGCTACATAGCTTTTCCAGAATACCTGGTGGCGGAGCGCAGTTTGTAGTACAGTGTTCGTAGTACAGTGTTCGACACAACGCCACAAGGTCTCACACGCAGACCACATACAACATCGTCGGTTCAATGTCTCGGCCAAGATCTGGCTAAGCGCTGTTTCCGGGGTCCTCAAGTGCGCTAAGAATTATTAGCGCTCTGCCCTAGTCTGCCCCCCCGTTCCGGGCGACTAATCGGCAACGTGGGTACCGGAGGAATCTGAATCTCAGAGATGCCGATGATGCGGACGCCGTGACACTGGGTGTCATTCTCGCGTTCTCGCTTCTTATTTTGACTAGCACAGGTCTTCCTCCCGTCGATACATATGCATGTTCAAGGAACGACAAAAGCATCGACGCTTACAATATTAATCAAACAACCACAACTACGGGCTCGTGCACAGCGCTAATTTCGAACTCACGCATGTCCCTAGTTTCGATCGCGAACAGTTAGTTTCCTCCGCTCACTGACATATATAGCCGTGACTACTGACTTTGCAGTTTCTATATGCGTTTCCACACCCATGTGTGTATTCTCCGGACTTTTATTCGTTTCTCCCTCGGTTGCAATACGAGTGCCATCTGGTGCAATGTTACAGGCCCTGTGACCATCGCGCACGCGTCAACGCTTGCTGTGGTAAATGGGACGAGAAGGTACACGTACGACACGATCTGATCCCAGTAGCTGACGGGCTCGAACTTGTATTCAAAGTCTCCGCCAAACGAGGCATCAAGCTGCTCCTTCGGGATAAGCTCGGTCAAGTCGGGGTTGAATCGCATCTGGAGGCGAGATTGGTTGTGCCACTCAAAACTCGCCCGATTCCACCCACCTTGTCTCGTGTTACAGGATCCAGGAATGGTGAGATGCCCTTGTAGAAAAAGTTCAGAATTAGTGGCAGATTGACCACTACGGCTCGCCCCAGAGTCTCAACGTAGTGCTGCTGCAGGATGGTCAAGGTCTACGATGCAATAAGTCAACAAAACGTAAAGCCCAAGAGCGCCAGACGCGCCTGTCTTGCCACAGATATTGATGGGTTAGTTCGTAGCGAACAGCTTTTGTAGTCGACAATGATGACCAGCGACTCTTGCCCAGGCGGCATCAGGTCTTTTGCACGCTCTCTGTCCCTGTTGTCAGAAAGCCCCGTCCAGATGTGTAGTATTCGCATATACGCACAAGCTCCACACCAGGTATCGAAGTTGGCGAGGGCTTCGTTCCGTGTTCTCCAAACCGGGACGCATGTATATGATAGGTCGGCCATCCTTGTCAAAGCCATTTATAACACTGATAAATAGTTGAGATGCATAGAACGACAAGTATAGCAAGAAGGTACGTACATCTTTCCAGTGACGCTTTCGATTCGGACCTGAGTTGAACTAGTTCAGCGTGTCAAGACCACCACTGGCATGCAATGACTAGCATACTTCTTCCGGCTGAATAAGATCGGGTTTAAACTCCCGTCTCCACTTCATCGTACCCTCTATGCGCTTCTTCGCATCTTCTAAATCCCATTTCGCAGCACGCATGTAGCGTGGTACTGTGTCCGACTTATTTAACCAACGTAATTCCCATTCGCGGTAGGCATCGAACTCGGGCAGCACAAGAGTTTTTGCATGCTATAAAAGCGCATCAAAATTTATTCCTCGTGTTCTTTACCAGGGCAGGGCGACCGCTCACCTCGAGCAAAGCTTGCATTTGAGCCTTTTGCTCATCGTCGTACGTGTGGACTGGGAAAATGACCGTTCCCGGCGCGGGTTTGGTGAGAACTTGGTGCGTCTTCGCCATCCCTCGAGGACGCAGGTATCCTCGGGTTGTTAGGTGTTTATGGTACGACCGAAGGGGCGTGTTTTGGGCGTTCTCAAACCCTGGCTTGGCAGCCAGCCGAAAAGGCGCGGTATCGCGTCTGTCTGACGCGTGGATCATTACGCGACAGCATGATCACGTGATGTCCCTTTCTGGATTTTCTATTTTGCCCGGCCTGTGCACTCCCTCTCGTGCGTTGTCCGCCGCTGTCCAAGGAATATCCACTATAATGCATCTCATGTATACGCTGGACGAGCACGGTAACCGGTTATATACACTCAAAGTAAACTCTTTGTCCTCATTTCATTAGCCCAGCCTGACTGGTTTGCAGAAAATTACAGACGATGGTAAAATTACCAAGTCTGCTCACCCAGGTGTGCTCTAGCTATCCATCAACTCCGACCTGCTTCAGTCCTGATCCCTTTGTGACATAGCTCGTTTTTCTCCCGATGATAAATTCTCACGTCACCGGGTGACTATCAAGAAACGCTACGGCATCCTTTTGACCCAACTGCCCGCGAAGCCGATGTGAAGGCTTTCGAGCAAGAGGCGAAGTGCTGAGATGAGTAGAGCGCGACCGTGGAGCGATCTCGTGTGCTTCGCTGTATGCCTTCGTATACCATCTGTGCTTCTTTCAGTCAATTGTCGGAGTGGGGCTAGCGACCTTACAACGAGAAATATTAGAGATTGAACGCTGCCAATCCAGCCATAGTCCTCTAGAGCTTCAGGCTTCAAAGCTCAGACTTAGTCATTCCTGCTACTGTCCTGTTATAGCGATCTACAACAGGAGAAATGGAGCCGCTGCCTATCGTTAACCTTCGTAGTCCTCTTATGCTAGGAAGCAGCACCTTAGCGTCGAACTCGGCCTGAAAGCCTCACCGTGTTCAGCCTGTGCACCTCATACAAACTATCGCCGTATAGTGAGTCGACGCTGTAGCACAAAATCGCCTCGGACGTTTGACATAGCGAGTCCGATGCTGAAACACGCCCGGTGCAGTTTGGAGCGGGAGCTAATTCTCTTCTTACACCGTTTGAAAGAAAGAAAACAATAATGCTGTGAGCTGTGATGACGATGGAGATATATTCACGAGCGTGGCTGGCATAGCGAGGGTATAAAGCAGATGTGATTGCTAGGAGGCGACCCAACTGTCCACAATTGTTCGAATTTTTGGCGATAACCTAGCTTAAAGGAACAAACTCCGCGTGAGAAGCTATTACTTATCTATAAGCTTTAAGGACTTATCGAGCGCAGTAATTATCTTGTTCCAGCCGATTCGCCCAGGCTTCTTCTCATCCACAAACCGTGCACTGTGCACACGGCTACAGCCGCGCCTTTCCTTACCTTCAGGCGTGCTCGCAGGCTTCCTTCCCTCAAACTGCGTGCATGCACTGAGCTGTATTCTCTTTGAAGGACACTACCACGATGGACAATCGAGGACAGCGTCCTCCGCGTTCTGCCCGACCCCCACAGACTCCCGCTCCCCCTTACCAGTCCCAGGACTCGCTTTCAGCCCAGCTCCCTCTCCCGCAGTATCCTACCGATCCACACCGAGGCATATCCTTCCAGAACACTGAGCGTGGCGAAAGACAGGCGCCCCTCGATGACCGCCGACAACACTCGTATTCTGCCTACCAACCGCAATCGCCGCCACCTGACGCAGGGCTCGCAGAGGCAGGAGGTTATGCTGACGGTAGAGTTGGAAGGAAGAAAAGTCTGGTCAGGCCGGACAGAGAGAAGATTGATCCTGGGCATCGCCAGTACCACTATCATAGTCGCGTTGCTGAGTTGCAGCAGGGTGGAAATATAGATTACATGCCCTCAAGTACGCCGTCGCCACACCTGCTTTACGCCTTTTTATCCTCACCTCGATGTTTCTAGGCACTGGAAACCAGCCACAAAGCGGTCTCCGGAGAGGCAAGTCACTCCTCGGCAGAGAAGAGGACCAGCATGAATCAGGCCTAGCGCTATTCAAGCGCGGTACGACGCTCCGCCGCAAGAAGCCTGCGCAGCCTGCGCAGCCCGAGTCTAGAGGATGTTTGTCGAATATTGGTCCCGGTCCCAAGGACCCCTGGTTCATCTACTGCTACATTTTGACATGCTGGGTTCCTCCGCCCTTGCTCAGGGCCTGCGGTGAGTGACGTCGTATCCATCGAGGCTTGGCAATTACAACGCGCTCCACAGGTATTCGCACCCCCGAGCAACAAAGGGCCTGGCGTGAGAAGATCGGACTCCTCAGTATCATCGCCGCTCTCATGGCGAGCGTTGGTTTCATAACTTTCGGCTTCACGGAAACGGTTTGTGGAACGCCGGCGAATCGGTTCCACGCTGGTACTATCGAGAACGCCTCAGTCATCATCCATGGCTACGACTACGACTTCTCGCATTTCAATCACCCTCCGGCTGGCACTACGTTCAACGGGCAGACGAACCCGCTTTTGGAAGGCGGATGGAACATCGCGGGCGCTGACATCTCGTTCATGTTCCAAAACGTGGGCCAGAACTGCAAGGGATTTATCAATGAGGCCGCCAATTCGAGTATCTCTGGCGACACGAATGACCCCGAGTGGTACTTTCCCTGCAATGTCTACAACCAGTTCGGCACCTCACAGATTAATCTGACGGCATACGACCAGTCTACCAACTGTCACATAACTTCCCAGTCCCGCTCGGAGCTCGCGTCCATGAAGCCCCAAGGCCAAGTTTACTACACATGGGACGACGTTCAGAACACCCAGAGGAACTTGGCGATTTTCGAATCGTGTGTACCCAATCTCTCGGCTTAGCGTATACTTACCGATTTCCCGCAGCTCGGTTCTTGATTTCGATCTCCTCCAATGGCTGAGCCCTGCGCAAGTCTCCTTCCCGCCGCTGTTTAACGAGCTGATGAAGGCCAATGGAACTTTCAACGGCAAGGATCTCAGCATGTACCTGCTACGCACCAACCAGCGGCCCCTTGGACATTGTCTGCAGGATATCGTCACCGTTGGCTTCATCGATACGAATACCATTGGATGTGTTGCCTCGGAAGTCGTCCTATACGTCTCGCTGGTGTTCATCATCGGAGTGGTCGGTATACGCTTCTTCATGGCTGTTATGTTCGCTTGGTTCTTCTCCTGGCGCATCGGGAACTTCAAGAACGAGACATACGAAGAACGAATGAAGCGCGCCGCCGAGATCGAGAATTGGACAGAAGACATCTATCGCCCTGCCCCCGGCTACCTTCGTCCTAACGTGCACAAGAACGGCCTTCACAAGGGTCTCAAGTCGTTCCTTCCCTCGACCTCGCGTTTCACTCCCTCTGAGAACATGCTGAAGGGTATGGGTGGTGGTCGCCAGTCGACCGCTTATGGAATGCTTGAGCCGATGCCGTACAAGCGCAGCGCTACCAGCATGTACGGCGGATCAAGCAGGAAGAGTGTGTCTAAGCTCACCCCTCCGGACACCCCTGCCACCCGCCAGTCGCGGAGCTCGACTTCGCTGGACGCTGCTGCGAAGTTTGCGGATAATCCTTGTCCCTTCCCGCTGCACAACGTTGTTCCCCAGCCCCCTCCAGATTATGAACCCTTCAACTATCCCCTAGCTCATACCATCTGTCTTGTCACGGCTTACTCTGAGTCTGTTGAGGGTCTTCGCACGACCCTGGACTCTTTGGCGACGACCGACTATCCGAATAGCCACAAACTTATCCTTGTTATTGCGGACGGTATGGTTAAAGGTGCCGGTAACACTATGACGACCCCGGAGATCTGTTTGTCAATGATGAAGGACTTCGTCATCAACCCGTCCGAGGTTGAGCCGCACTCCTATGTCGCCATCGCCGATGGACACAAGCGACACAACATGGCCCAAGTCTATGCCGGTTTTTACGCGTACGACGACGCCACAGTGGAGAGGTCGAAGCAGCAGAAGGTGCCAATCGTTCTCGTTGCAAAATGCGGAAACCCGCTCGAGAAGAACGACCCGAAACCAGGCAACCGTGGCAAGCGCGATAGTCAGATTGTCCTCATGGCATTTATGCAGAAGGTTATGTTCGACGAGCGGATGACGACGTTCGAGTACGAGTTTTTCAACTCGATCTGGCGTGTGACGGGCGTGAGCCCTGACCATTACGAGCTCGTACTCTGTGTTGACGCCGATACGAAGGTCTTCCCGGATTCGCTCAGCCGGATGGTCTCATGCATGGTAAACGACTATGAGATTATGGGTCTTTGTGGTGAGACGAAGATTGCGAATAAGGCAGAGACATGGGTCACTATGATGCAAGGTGAGATGCGATAACTTGTATAATATTCTGATGTGAGCTGACATTTGATTTAGTCTTCGAGTATTACATCTCGCATCACATGACAAAGGCCTTCGAGGCGATGTTCGGCGGTGTAACATGTCTGCCCGGATGTTTCAGTATGTATCGCATCAAAGCCCCGAAGGGCGAGAATGGATACTGGGTACCTATCCTTGCCAACCCGGACATCGTGCAACATTACTCCGAGAATGTCGTCGACACCCTGCACAAGAAGAACTTGCTGCTGCTCGGAGAAGATCGGTACCTCACTACGCTCATGCTCAAAACGTTCCCCAAGCGCAAGAACGTGTTCTGCCCACAGGCCGTTTGCAAGACCGTCGTTCCAGACACCTTTAGGATCCTCCTCTCGCAGCGTCGTCGTTGGATCAATTCTACTGTCCACAACTTGGCCGAACTGCTCTTGGTCCGCGATCTCTGCGGTACTTTCTGCTTCTCGATGCAGTTTGTCGTTGGCATGGAACTGGCCGGTACCCTTGTCTTGCCTGCTGCTATCTCGTTCACGCTATACCTGATCATCATCTCTATCATCCCCGGCGGTACCAATACGACGATCCCGCTGATCCTGCTCGCTATCGTCTTGGGTCTCCCCGGTGTTCTCATTGTCATCACCTCACGCAAGATTGCTTACGTCGGGTGGATGATCGTTTATCTTCTATCGCTTCCGATCTGGAACGGTATCTTGCCCGCGTATGCCTTTTGGCACTTTGATGACTTCTCTTGGGGTCAGACGCGTCAGGTCGCCGGCGAGAAAGGTGCTGGCGACAACCATGGAGACAAGGAGGGAGAGTTTGATTCATCACACATCGTCATGAAGCGATGGGCAGAATTTGAACGCGAAAGGAGGTGGAAAGCCGGGACGCAGTCGCGGGACTCGACATATTACGGCACAAGTTCCCCGCAGAAGTAAGTGATCTACCCTTTGCCGCCGTCAGCTTGGCTGATATTGTCTGCAGGGTTGAGAGCAACCGTTATTCGATGGTTTCTACCAGCGACTATCACACCCAGCAGCAAGGATACGACTCAAGCACGCACGAGTCCGCTAACGCGACGGCGCCGCGTAAACAGGATCCAAATCAACTTCTCGTGCTTCCTACGCCTCTGTCCGTTTCCCGTACTGCACCAACTTCTGCTTCGACATCTTCCGCCGGCCTATCGCGGTCGAGTGAGGAAGGCGGTTACAATTCGGACATCGGCTCACAGCACCAGCGCCTCATCCCAGGTCAACAAGACAGCTACGGCAACACTGAAGAGTATGAGACACCCAGTCCGCAATCGCCGTTCGACCAGCGCGTGTCAAGGGCGGCAAGCGCAAACAATGGCGTGTACCGGCAATCGTCTGCGTATCAATACACTGTCGAGACTTTCAACCCTTACGGCTACTCTCAGCCGCACACAGCAGGTTACGACGGGCAGCTGCAGCAGTTCCCATATACCGCAGAACCCGAGGAACAGCCTGCTCAGCCATCCGCGGCTTTTGGCCAGAGTCGGCAGCGGGGTGTGAGCTTGGTGGATAACGGCCCCGTGTCGTCGGGTGGTGTGCGCCGCATATCACGGCCGACAAGGCGGTCGACAGCACAGGCCCCGCCTCAGCAGAACCAGAACCAGAACCGCTACTCACGAGGTGGATCCGTCCCTATGCCTAATCAGCACCTCCCGCCGGGTGCGGCCCCGCCGCAATCTGGCTATGGATACTAAAGACCAAATCTTACGCAGATGTACAGTTAGCACGCAATCACGCCTCTCATGGACCTTAGCATCTTTCTCCTTCCCCTTCTTCACGATACCTAGCCGTTGAGTATTTGGACTTCTCCTGCACCATACACCCAGACTTTATTCTGCGCTCTCATGACCATGTTGATACGCTTTGTTCGCGCTTTGACAGTATATTCCCACGATTTGCTCGTCCCGGCTACCTTCTTTATTTCGTCGTATCAGACTATACATTACGTAGTATTACATTATATCCCCATTCTTTTCTCTGGACTGGATTTCCAGCGCGTGAATACGAACATATCCGAGCTGCGAGGGTGATAACAGGATCGGGCGTCTTGCCAAGCAAGCTTCTTTCACGCCGCCATGTCCTCTGCCGGCAACCGACGCATTCTTCTTTCGTGCATCGCCCCACCACCTTCGAGACAAGTTGAGGCTGGATGAGGCAGACTCTGCGGCTTCCAATGCACCGCCGGCCGTCTGTGTCGCCGCGCAGATTTGGCTCGCGTGCGCGTGGCCTCAACAAGTGGCTTAAGCTTACGGCACGCAGCGTCCTTCTGGGGACCACGCTCCTAGTCGCGCTGCTATACTTGACGGCCAGGGTATGGCAGAAGTGGTAGGCATGGAGCTTTGAGAGGGACAAGCCGCCGTTGTACGAGAGATATCACCATGCCGAGCTAGTTCTGCCGCAGCACGGTTCAGATGATCCGTTCAGTAATGGGAAGAAGGATCTGTGGGTGAATAATCATGTCTCTGGTGAGTGTATAGCTATGTATGCAAGTACGCTATTCATGAAGCTCTCCATCTGGAGCTTTGGGGTGGGGAAACTACCTGGAAGATCTCATCATGAACGCGCAGGTCGCGTACAGTAGTGGGAGATCGTAAGTAAGCTGTATCCCGTTCTACTCACGTCTGAACTCTTCATACTGCCTCCCTAGCTTTGTCTTTGACAACTATATGGAACAGGGACAATGCCATATACTCTGGCTATACTAGCAAGCCGGTACCGTCCCAGATTCCCTTGTCGGCGCTCATTTCGGGTAAGAGGCAGAAATGTCTTGTGTGTTCCCCGTGATGTTGACTCTCTACGGCTTGTGACAGGACCCCTAATGGGTGGTACGTTTGCTGAAGGCGATCACACACCACTGGCTGTCCACAAAATATTTTGACAAGATATGCCCGAATCCGACAATCATCGAGATGCAGACAGTCGCTCACTACATGAGAGAGGTGTCACCATCGGCGCTGAATACTGCAGACTTGGGTGAAATATCTGCACAATATCGACGATCCCTGTGTCGAGATTGCCCGTCAATCCGACTGGATATTTGATTACTAGTTAGTCCTTCCTCCAAATTTCGGATCCAGAGTGTAACTCAAGGGAGCGCTTCAGCATCTACGGCCAGAAGGAGCGCCTTCTGCCTATCTGGCCAGTTCTGTCCGAGTCACTGCTGCTTCGCCTTCTGGGCTGGGCCCCGCTCGTCCAGGCCGCCTTCGATATGAACCGCGGCCTCTTCTTGCCAGTGCCGCCCATCGAGCCGTACGCTGCGCCAAGCACGCTTGTGCTGCTGCGGGACCCGTATACGCCCCTTCCGAGACTGCTCGTCCTGCATGTACGCCACGGAGATTTTGCAGAGCACTGTGCGAACCTCGCACGCTGGGGAGCGTCCTTCAACGCGTTCAATGCCTTCGCGACGCTCCAGGACGCGTGGACGACGCCCTCTGGCAGCGGCGGCGGCACAACGACTGATGCGAATATGCGGCTCTACGTGCGGCGCTGCTTCCCGAGCGTGGGCGAGATCGTGGCTAAGGTCGACGAGGTCCAACGCACGCGCGCCGGTGTGGGTGTAGCGAACGTGTACGTGGTGACGAACGTGAAGCGGGCGTGGACCGAGGAACATGGGCGGCTGGGATAGGATCTCGACGAGCCGCGACTTGATGCTCAACAAGGAGCAGAGGTACGTGGCGCAGGCAGTAGATATGCTCATTGGCCAACGTGCGCAGGTACTCATAGGCAATGGGGTGGGTTCATGTCTTCTTAGGCGGTTACAGTAGCTAACTGCAGCCTCCGGTTCTCAAGTCTCACCTCGGATAGCGTCATGTTGCGCATGGCCAGAAAATCCCCCCGCGTACACGCATTTACTTGCTACATCACGCAAAGTTTCTGCCCGCATATAGTTATACATCGTGTCTTTGCACCGTCAAGAATACACTTTCTAGTTCCGCTTTTGTTGGTATAAGTACAGCGTGCGTTAGTACATCGGGTAGGCATTCATTTTTTTTTTCACTTCTTGAGGAGGACTGGCGCCGTGGGACCAGCCGAGAAGCCCTTATCTCCGGCATACGACGAGTTGCCAGAAAGCTCTTCCTCGATGCGGAGGAGAGCATTGTACTTGGCAACACGCTCAGAGCGTGCGGGCGCACCCGTCTTGATCTGGCCAGTGCCGAGGGCGACGACGAGGTCGGCGATGAAGGTATTCTCAGTCTCGCCGGAACGGTGGGAGACCATGACACCCCAACCATCGGATTGCGAGAGCTGAGCACTGCAAAGCATGATCAACCAGCGTTCGATAAGGTCAAAGCTGACAGGGGACTTACGCCTGGATCGACTCGGAGACGGTACCGATCTGGTTGACTTTAAGCAGGAGGCCGTTGCAGGCCTTCTTTTCGATGGCAGTCTTGATTCGAAGGGGGTTGGTGACGGTGAGATCATCGCCGACGATTTGGATACCAGAGTTGGCAGTGAAGTGAGACCAGGCCTCCCAGTCGTCCTGGTCGAAGGGATCCTCAATGGAGACAATGGGGTACTTCTTGACGTAGGAAAGATAGAGCTCCGCAAGCTCCTTGCCAGAGATCCATTTGGTAGGGTCCGAGTTAGGGTTCTTGAAGTCGAGGTCATATTTGCCGTCCTTGTAGAATTCAGAGGAGGCGACATCGAGCGCGATCTTGATCTTCCCCTCATAGCCAGCCTTCTTGATAGCTTCGCTCAGAAGTTCAAGGGACTCATCAGCACCAGAGACATTCGGGGCGAAGCCACCCTCGTCACCGACGTTGACGGCTACATAGAGTCAGCCTGGAATCAAACTGATGCATATATGCACGCACCGTCGATGCCGTACTTGGCACTGATGACCTTCTTGAGGGTATGGTAGGTCTCGGTACCAATCTTCATGGCTTCCGAGAAGCTGGTGGCGCCAGTCGGGAGGAGCATAAACTCCTGGAATGCGAGCTTGTTGCCAGCATGTGATCCGCCATTTATCACGTTGAACGCGGGCGTCGGCAGAATGTATGGGGGCTTGACACCAGCAAGCTCAGCGAGGTGTTGGTAAAGGGGAACACCCTTCTCAGCAGCGGCAGCCTCAGCAACAGCGATAGAGACACCAAGAATGGCATTAGCACCGAGCTTGCCCTTGTTGGGGGAGCCGTCGAGCTTGATCAGGAAGTCGTCGATCTCCTTCTGCTGGGTGACCTTAAGCTGAGTCTTGACAAGTTCGGGGCCAATGGTGTCGTTAACGTTCGCAACGGCCTTCAGTACACCTGCATGACACGAGCCGGCGGCGTTTGAGCGAATCTGTGGGGAATAGACAGCACGCACATACCCTTGCCAACGTACTGCGACTTGTCGCCATCACGGAGCTCTACAGCCTCGTGGATACCAGTGGAGGCACCGGAGGGTACGGCGGCACGGAAACGGCCTGTTAAAACGCGTCAATATGGAATCCCCCTTGCGAATACTGGAACGCACCCTTCTCAGTGAAGAGATCAACCTCGACGGTGGGGTTTCCACGCGAGTCGAAGATCTGAGTAAGTTTCATGAGTAATATGCGTGCATATAAGCGTATTTTGCACCGACCTGGCGGGCGTGGACCTTGGAAATGGACATGGTGGATGAAGGAGATGATGAGGCTCAAAGTCGAAGCCGCCTGGACTTTAAGTACTAGACTCATGATGTGTTTTCCCACGCTGATTATCACCGGTTCGGCTAGCGGCTTGCGCCCACTCCTCCCTCGGCTGGACTGGTCCTCGATATCGGACGACGAGCTGCGAAGGTTGCGACAGCCTTCGATGCTCTCTGTATGCAAGAATCCTACTCCCACGATTGCAGGTAGCGATAGTCGTCAGACTCTCACACCGTCTTCGTCGTACCAGGGCTTCTCGGAGTTTTGTGCGTACTATGCTCGTATGAATAGCAGCATGCCGTGGGCACTGGCGATGCCGTATTCTACATAGGCCCAGTACAAGGGGCCGAACGGGTAACGTGTGTCCCACGGGCCGAACGAACTCGCAGAGCGCAGAGATCGCGAAGCGCACCATTTCTCGACGCGACGCGACCAGGCGCGACCAGGAATCGCGTCCGAATCCCCGATCGGCGAGGCGCGCAGCAATCGTTGACACACGCAGGTCGGCGTATCAGGAGTTTCTGTAACATTGTCTAACCCGCTGTGGGCTGCGGTGCAGCCGCCTGAAAACTTCACGAACGAGACATGCGGCATACTATGGTGGGTAGATAGCTCACACCCAACATTGCATGGGCCGTATTGTCGGAAAATGGCACTAGATGCCTTCTTCTGAGCTTCTCAAAGGAGATACCACTCGCAGTCAATCCGCTTTGCGCAACTTCGAAATCCAGACGAGTCCTCTGTACGGGGAAATCTTCGCAACCTTTGGGCCAGCCTCCAGTGTCTGCTCCCGTTCTTTGGGCTGTACTAGCATGCTCAGGTCTCAACGGTGAGCTAACCGCGATGCTCAATCGTAGTTCGCGAGCAGGGGCTTTGGCGCTGACTATATATATATATAGTATTGGAATAGCCGTGGATGTCGTTCGTGGCTTGATCGCAGGTGAGGATGTGCGAATTGTGTCCTAGAGCTACCGTTACGCCAGAAATTTATTGAAAAGCGCCCATCGTCAAAATCACACCTATATGCAGAGTCAACTTCAGATCGTAGACGAGCACGGTGTATATTATTCGACTGACTAAATAAACTTAGGTTGCAGACGTCTGCTCACTTTACTGGCTGCTCCGTGAGAAATAATGCGGAGGGAAGTTAGCCCGAGTATCCTCGCTCAGAATTCAAGGGCGACGCGGACTTGCTCTAACACAGGCACGCGATCTTCAACGATGTGGGGATAGAGCGATCCTGAACCGGGGCATATTCCACCTAACTCCACAAAATCAGCACAATGTACAATTTTGATATCGAATTTTCTACTGTACCCACATCGTCATCGATTAGACCTTGATCGAATCCCATGGGTAATTCGCGAGTGTGAGGTTAGTCTATGCACAAATGAGACACAGCGGCCTACTTACCGACGTACAGCAGCGGAGCTGCCATGTCCTGCGAGGTCGTAAAGCGCCTCCGGCAGTTTATCTGCAGGTGTGTAGTGGTCCCAGGGCCTTGATCCTAGTGTGACAATGAGGTCGTGTGCAGGCAGGGGTGCGACGACCGGCGTTTAGTACATGGAAGCAATCCTCACCGTGTTCCTAACTAGTAGACATTCGTTGGTGTTGGTGTTAGCACAGTATCCTTAGCGCACTTTCGCAGGAACACAGACACCTCATGACCCTGGTTATTTGCAGGGTATATTATGAGCCAAACTGAGGAAGGAGAGAGCGATCACGCAGTGCATGGAGCTTCTTCTCGTGCTCCGCCACGATAGGCCACGCCCTCGCCTCGAGGTACTATGCACCCGGCTCCATAACCCTCATTCACGAATCCTGCACGGGGTCCATGGGCGTGCTTGCCACCACTACAGCCGCATGCCGCGCGTTGTGGAGATGATGGAGCGGCACCATGCTTGCAACGATCGCGGATTTGGGCTTAGCAGCTGAGTTACGATGTCAGACATCGATAACTGCTTCGGATGCACTTGTAAAGGTCATAAGGGGGCACGGAAGTGTTTAATTTCTCTTGTACAAAGGGCATGGTGAGGGGTCTCAGCATGCATAGGCTGAACTAATATGAACGACCGCTGCGTGGACCATGGTCTCGTTGCTTCAAGGCTTGGTATCGTGCGTCCGCCTTGCCCTGAGTCCCTCGGCGCGGAAAGAGAGCGGTGCCCCCAAAGTACTTTGAACGGTTTCGAGAGGGGTATCATGAGCTATCACACGGCCGCGCTTGTAACACCCAAGGCTGAACTAGACTTGAAGCTTCGTCTGGACACCACGGAGTTCAAGTTTTGCTGGGTATCACGGCCTGCCAAAGAGCGTGAGTGCGTCTACAAAACACAAATGAGGTGTGCATACTACAGTCTGACGGGCTGATGCCGCGCCGGTGGACTTTCATCCGCGAGCGAAAAGCTCTGAGGGGTGTACGATCAACTTGGGCAAGTTTCACCTCTTTCTCTCACCTCGCTCTCCTCTCTTGCCCTAGCAGACCCTAGAGAGCTCCATGGGTGGAGCCCTCTCCGCCTGCGACGACTCTGTTGTTGACAAGACTAAAGTTGCTATTACGGTAATGGCCGAGGGAATTAAAGCTCGAAACGCGTCGGCATCTCTTAATTAATGGTGGCGTGGAAATTGATGCGCCCGGTATTATCTTCCCACACGCCTACAGTAAGCGTCTCCGAGCAGGTGTGAACATGTTCCAGAGACGTCATCCTGCACCGCACACACATTCCATAACTCGAGAGATCCAAACACAAGGATTTTTCCCGGATATCGCAAAAGTTCAGAGGCACGTTGCGTACACGGGCCCTGACATGGATACAGACTAAGCCGGTTAAATTAACCTTCAACGTGAGAAGAGCTATGAATAACACTGCCTTTCCAGACGACAGTGGTACCGGAAATGTGGCCATGCGAGTGGCGTTGTGCTATTGCGGACACTAGGGTGTGTCTGAGTCTGATAGATGAGTGTAGCTCTTCCCGCTCTCCGTCTTCCGCCGACGTGTCCTCGAGGCGAAAGGACTTCTCGAAGTAGAGGGCCTTGAGCTTGGGAAACATGAGCCCGTTTTCGGGAGACATACTCGCAACGAATCTCTCGATGTGCACCTGGCGGAATTCGCTGAAAAAATGAATCTCCATGACGTTCTTGAGCTTCTCGCAGACGCGATAGACTTCCTGGAGCACCGACTCGTCGTCCCCACAATATCGTACACCTGACAATCGCAAGGCGAGGACCCTATCCAGTGGAAGATGATCACCAAACCAGCGCACGGTGGCTGGCGATGCGGTTTCCAGAAGGAAGTCGTGAGAATCCCCAGTGCCGTCGTCCCTCATGGTCTGTCCGACGAAAGTGCGCCCATGCATGGTAATATAACCATGCGGGCGGAATATGATGCCGAAAGCCAGCAAGGTTGTAGGCAGCGTACTCTGAAAGATCAGATCTTGAGCGTGCATCATTGAAGGTACTCGCCTTCCTGCAGGTATCTGAAAGGTGCTCCATCCGACCTCAAGGTGGGTGTTGTACGGGATAATCAGGCTTTGCAGCAGTTTCGAATGGTTTGAATCGTCCGGATGAGTGTAGAAGATCATGAGGTCCTGGAGTTTTGGCAGCGAGACCTCCTCTTGCAGGTCAGGCCATACAACCCAAGAGGGCACAGTCACCGAGAGGGACTCGAGATGCGGTAGCCGGCGGAGCATCTTCAAAATGTCTTGAAGTGTAGGGATTCTGGTTGTTTCGGCGGATCGTGAGTATGGGTTGATCTCGAGTCGCTGGAGAGTCGGCAGGCAGAGATTTCTTTCAATGGTGTGCCATGTCGCGAAATCGGTGGCACCAACGACATGAAGGTCTTCGAGGTTAGGACATCTTAGCGACAACCAGGCTGGACGCTCGAACGACAGGGCTTTGTAGAGGTGAAGACAACGCAGCTCGGGGGCGTCCAAGTTGGTAGGGAAGGTGTGCTTCTTCATCGCCTCGTCAATGGCTGGGTATACAATGAGGACGCGAATTCGATGCATGTGCTCAGTGAGCAGAGAAGCAAGCTGATTGGCGTGCCTGGAAGCGTCGTTGGGCGACTGGTCTATGCTGTCGATCGCACGTACGTCGAGCAGGCTTGTCCCCGAGAGTTTGAGTGCTAGCTCGATAAACTCCGGATGCTGCTTGCCAATGAAGACGTTGACCCACAATCGCTGAGAAGCATGCGCAACGTGTTTCCAGCAGCGACAGACGTGCGTTATCTGGAGGAGTATCCGGGCGTACTCTTGCCCATTGTCGGGCCAGAGATCCGGTCCAAGAACTTGTGCGGCCAAAACGTATATAATCCATTCAAGGATTTCCGCCGGTAGGGAGGAAATACTCGTGCGGTTGCGTAATACCTTGCAAGGCATTCTTGACGAAGAATGTGCGCACAACCTGAGTGGTGAATGAAGTCGTGCCAAAAGCCAAGCGAAGTGTTAATGGGACGTACTAGCGCAGTCTAACGGGGGGTGTATGGGCGGTATTAACCAGAGCAGGCGGACTACGACCCATCGTATTTAAACCTTGATCGACAAAGACAATCGACAATTGCCAAAGAATTTGTTGGGAGGCCGACAAAGACACAGAGAGCCACGTGTCTTGGGCCGCTTTGACGGTCAAAGCAGACGATTATCTCAGATACGTAGTCAATTGCAAGTGGCTCTGGCTCAGATCTGCATCTGTGGCGGGGTGAGCGACAATAGTTAGTTGCGCGGGTCGCTATGCATGAAGTACGGCTCGAGGATACCCCCTTCGATGGTAACTGGCACACCGGCAGCACATGAGCAATGGGCCACACCGCAGACCAAGAAACTTTCAATAACGCATGGCTCCATAATACAGCCTTAATCCAGACCTCGAACGCTGGCAGGCCTTGGATGGTGTGGTGGATCCTGGGGACGAAGGAGGGTGATGGAACATTTATTGCCGAGGCCGCCAACGGGCGGAACTCGGAAGAAGCTGGCCGCCGCCACACATAAACTTTGAGCCCTTCATAGATTTGACCGGCGACGTCGCCGTCGCCGTCGCTCGGGCCCATAGCAACACCCTAATTGTCGTATAGGCTGGGCGTTCAAAGGCGTACGGATATTGCACATACGCTTCCACGCTAGTTGCTATTTCCGCTGCCTGTAATCATGCCGTCCAGGGCTGACGGAAGTGACCCCTCCCCAAAACAAGCCTCGCCGTATAGCTTTTTGCTCTCACGCGAACTGGGTCCTGTAAAAACGTAGGAGATAAGGATTGACAGATAGAGTGGACAAGATCGTTCACACACGTAAACGGCACTATGCAGAGACCGCTATGCTCGCACCGATGCCTACATCCATGCCACACCACTCGTCATCGTCCTGCTGCGCATCGGCCATCCCCTCGTCCTCGTCTCCGTCCTCGAGGCCGATTAGACCGTCGTCCATCTCACCAAGCAGGTAGTCAACGACGTAACTTTCCTGCACGAGCTTCTCCATCCGCGCGAGGTGGCGCTCCGTGTACGGAACGAGCGCCTCGACAAGTTCACGAAGCGCCGAGGCGCCTCTGCCCTCCTTGTGCACGGGACCCCCGGATGCACCCGTCAGGATGTCGCCGAGCCCGCCGAGCGTCGCCGTTTGATCGAACGCTTGCGCGATATCCTCGGCCTTACGCAATTTCAAGATCGCGTGCAACACGCGCTGCGCGACCGCACTTGTTTTCGCGTTAGCGTTCCAGCCCCGGACGCACCGCAGGAGTTTAGCTAGATCCGGGCCACTCAGGGTGCGGATGACCTCGTCAACGGACGGGTGCCCCGATATTGATGTAACGGATGAAGGATCCGAGGTACTAGGAAGGCTTTTGAAGAGCGCGTGCAGTCGTCCGGGTTGTTCCATCGAGAGCGCCAGGAGGATGGCGTTCCGGTAGTCATGGAGCGAGAGGTAGTTTAAGAAGTCTTGTTCCCTGCACGGCACGGAAATGCCGCTTTAGCCACCACGCCCAACAACGGAAATGTTCTACTCACTTGAGAACCATCTCCGCCCGCTTAGTCTCCTTCTCTTGCTCCTGCTCCTCGGTGCAGTCTTCCCAGAATGTCACAACTGAGTCCGCTGCACCGGAGACAATACTGCGCTCATCAGAGCTCACGGCCAGGGCCCAAACCTTGTCTTCATGATTGTCCATCGTTGCCGCGCAAGACTCGTCGCGCACGTTCCACAGCTTGAGAAGGCCGTCACTGGCTGTGCTGACCATTTGCATGCCAGCGTTCATGAAGTCAACGCGCAACACCGAGTTACTGTGGCCCTCGAAGGTCTTGACGCAAGTGAAGTCGTCAAGATTCCAGAGCTTAACAGTCTTGTCGCCACTGCCGGTCGCCAGCACCCGCTCTGTCTGGCCAAAGCGTACGGTCCAGACACCGCGCTTGTGCCCTTTGCAGGTGCCTAGCAGCTTGATTTCGCCCTTTACTGCACCACTGTCGTACAGTACGTACTGAATTTCCCAGACTTTGGCCGTCCGGTCTTGCGAGCCAGAGACGAGCAGACGATCATTCGGCGCGACGTCTAGTGAGTTGATGTCCTTATCGTGCGCCTTGTGCGTTAATAGACTCTTGCACTTCACAGGCTGCGCGTCCGCACCGTATTTGATCGGCACAGAGGTCAGGTCCCACATCTTAATTGTGCGATCTTGGCTACCGGTGAACATGAAGCGCAAGCCACCCTCGGGCGAGTCGGAATGGGCTTTCCGCGACATCGCAACGGCTCCGACACTTTCGGCATGTCCTTCACAGACTGCGACGCACCCCCACTCCGGAACGGACGTGCTCGCAGCATCTGGGGTTCGGGTGGAAGTCGTAGGCGCCCAGATCCGTGCGGAGCGGTCCTTGCTGCCGCTGGCCAGAATACGACCCTGCGCGCCCTTGTCAAGGCACAAAACGATCTCATGGTGGCCGGAGAGCAGGCGCGCGTCCAGGGATTTGGCAGAGTAGACGCGGATAAGCGACGAGTTGGTAGCCAATGCGAGGTGAGTGTCAACAAAACCCGGAGTTATAGAAATGTCAGCCTGTGGCACCAGACGATAGGGAGACAGCAGTGCAGCATCAACAATTTCATCATTGAACCCGATCAGTTGTCGGGTGAGTGACCGAGTTGTGAGAGAGTGGAAAAGGATGTTTTGGTCAGCGTGTACGGACACGACTGTTGCGTCTGACGGCACGTATCTGAAAACATAAGTCAGCATCGATCTTTGACAAAGGTTACTGCGGCTGCTTACAACACATCGATAATTTGACGCTGCTCTTCCTGGTCCTCGGAGACGTTGTCCAACTCCTGGCCAAGCGTGTACAGTACTTCACCCTTTCGGGCGTCCCAAATTTTTACGGCACCCTTTTCGCCACCGGTGTAGATCTGCAGCTTGCTGACCCCGGAAGTCGTACCGATCACATCCTCGTCTTGCCGGAGCAAACCGACTGCTTCCACGCGCTCGAGCACAGGAATAGTCTTCACGAGCGTGGGCGCGCCTTCTTTCTCCTTGCCCTTCGTTTTGCTGCTCTTGGATTTTGAAGTCCCCGCAGGTTTCAAGGAGATATCCCAAACGAGGACGACAGAATCCCGACCACCACTGACCAGCCAGTTGCCGTCTCGCGAGACGTCGAGACCTCTCGGGACAGAGACATGTCCCTCAAGGACAGCCTCGGGCCTTGCAGCAGAACCAGACCGTGCAGAAGCAGCGGCAGCAGAGAGATCGAATATGCGGATCTTCGTGTCGACGGATGCCGTGACCAGCTGCATCTTCCGCTCACCGCCGACAGAGGAGGGGTCGAAGGGATAGTTGAAGACCAGCGCACTGACGACGCCTCCGTGCCCCTTGAACACATGTGTCACGTAGCCGCGAACAATATCCCACACCTTGACGACGCCGTCCGCAGACCCCGATGCGAGGTAGGTCGAGGTTGGGTCGGTCCTACATACGTGGACTGGTGCGTCATGCGCGCGAGCAACGGCTCGAAATGGTTGCACGTGCTTGAAAAGAGGAGTTGTGTCTTCTGGAAGTTCGTATATGCGCAGTGCCAAGGCGGAGGTGAAGAGACAAAGGTGTGTCGAGGCGGGCGAAATGCACATGGACGTTATGGACTCTGTGTCCTGTATCAAATTGAGCAGTTAGCTTCGATTATATGCAAAAGATACGTACTCCTGCAAACCGACATATCTCCCGCCCCTCTCGTACATCTGTGAGAACCGCTTCCTCTCCTACTACGGTGGCCAGTCTCGTTCCATCCGACGTGATCGCCACGGGCCCGCCAGTGTAAAGCGGCGCGATGACCCTGGACTTTTTGAATCTATAAAAGTCAATCAAACCAAGCCCGGCTCTATAAGTGCAAGCATACCTACGATGTTTTGGGCTTCGGGCGGGACGACGTCGAGGCCATGGCTGGCGGTAATTGAAAGACAAGTCGTTCAAGCGCCCTCCGCTAATATTTTCTTCGGAGCTCGCGCCCGCAGGCGGATCTCGGCAGCTGCCGAGGCTGTTTGTCCTTGTTGTGCGTTGGACCAACGCTTTCCGGATTCGGCCAACCTATGAACACCGCGGATCGTACGCACGCCGACGGGATCACGCACGCATGTACATCCACCGGGCAACACTGATGAGTGCTGATATATTGTACTTGCCTAGTGATGTGACATAGTCTGTACGTGCATCAGGAGCGCTTTATAAAGGCATGGTGACCGCACGACCTGCCGGGAACTCTAGAACGTAGGAAGAAAGTCCGCGAAAGGGCAAACTGGGTAGCACACTTCCCACCTGACCGTGCCATGCGCCTGCCAGCTGACAAAATCACTCCGGTTGAACTACGCCGGTACGCTCATGTCTCTTTGGAGAACAATGTCGCTGCGTGCAGAGATAGGCTTCGGGCGGACAAATCTTTATCGATTATCACTCATCTCGACGCTGTCCCTTATGTACGAAAACACATGTATTTGGAACTGGTTGTATTCAAGAAGGCCATAGAGTAGGAGTCATCGCTGCTTCGTATGGAGTCGTGACTAGAATACAAGCAAGAAAGATTGTAGACGGCATATTGCACAAAGACTTTGACGAAGATAAACGGACCACCCGGATGAGGACCGGGCCAAAAACCCTTGTATGAGATGGTAACCCAAGAGACTCTGAACATCCGAAATCAAAGAAAGACAGTCTAGCGCACCACTCGTGTTACAGCGAAGCGAGCCCGTGGCGGCTTTGGTACGACCGGAGGCGTTCTTCTGCCATCCGCCTCAGTCGGGCTTCCTCGTCGGCTGCTCGTTCGGCCTCCACCCGACGACGCGTCTCGTCCTCAAGACGGCTATCGGCCATCTTCAGAGCTTGCTTCGCCCGGGCGGCATCCGTCTCTGCCCGAGTCAACGAGTTCGATAACCGAATCGTCAGAGCTTCCTGATCGCTCGAGTGCCGCTTCAAAGCTTCGATCTCCTGTTTGAGGCGTGTAACAGCAGGATCCTCCGGAGGTGGCGCGATCGCCGGCTGGTACGATGATGAAAACGAACCCTGCAAACCCGGCCTCCCTAATTGATGCGATTGATGCGTCAACATATGGCTCGAGTGGTTTGAATGATTCGAATGACTTGAATGGATGGCATGGTTAGTGTGAGACGAGTGTGAGTGGATAGAATGCGTGTGATTGACCGGGCTGTGGGCCGGCGGGTGGTGGTAGCTAGTGTTCGTGCTCGAGCTGGATGAGGCGGACAGCGGTGACTGATAATGGGGGTAGGTAGTAGTATGAATCATCGGCTCGTCCTCGCTAAAGTCGTCGTCTGAGATAGTCTGTGGTCCACCGGGGCCCCAATCCATCTCGTCATCGTCCTCATCGTCATACGGGCTACCGCGCACAGCCGAAGTCTGGAATGAGTGAGCATCCACCGGACGAAGACGTGTCGACGATGCAGACGCAACTGGTTGATGAGGGCCGCGTGTGCTGTGTGTACCGTGTGTGCTGTGCGAGCTGTCTTCCCGGCGGGGTGGCGGAGGAGGCGGGAGCGGCGGCGGTACGGTGCGCTGTTGAGGCGGCGAGGGGAGCAGCGGCTGTGGCGCAGGAGCGGGCTGGTGATGCTCCACCCTTATCTGCATGGGTATGTATGGCCTCTCAATCATGGGACCAGGATTGGTCTGGATGATAATCTCCTTCTGTGTACGGCCGCGCTTCCGTGGGCGCTTAGTGCCCGGCGGGGCCTCGAGGTTGACGGTCCAATACGAACCAAAGCCAGGATCGGTTGCTGGACGTTGTTGACGTTCGAAGAGACGGTTCAGGGACAGGTGATGCCGCACCGATTGCTGTGGAGCCACACCGAAACGTGTGCGTGAGCGTGAGAAATTCCCGAAGGGGCGGGCAGGAACGCATACCTTCCATGCGGGTCCTGCAGTTTTGTAATATGGGTATTTCTTCTCCATGGCGGCATAGATTTCTCTTATCGTCAGCCTTTTCTTCGGGCTCCCGAGGATAGCACATCGCAGAATGACGGGGAGGGTATGTTGTGGCCGGCCGTTGGTATCCGGGAGGCAGGCAAGGGTATCGGGGCAGTCGGGGTGTGATTCGTGGGGACGCATGACAATATCTGTCTGAGCATAGTAGTTTGATTCTGCGGCTGCGCGTTCGTACGCCATGGTATTTGGCGGAGGCGGAGAGGGACTGCTGGACGACTGCTGCTGAGCATGCTGCTGCAATCTGGTAATGAGGTCAGCGGGCACTGAAAGGGGCCGCCGGGGGGCGCGCGGCGGGAGGCATCGGGGGATCCACGCACCGCATGTCCCGCTCCTGGCTGCTCTCTGGGTTGAGCAGGCTGTTGAGGCTCGCCATGGCGGGCGAGGGCGGCGATCAGGGAGAGGGTGGTGGTGTGTGGGTGAAAGGTGAGTATGGCAGAATTTAGCGGTGTTGTCCTGTGGGTCCAGCCGGCGTGCAGGTCCATTGTTGTTTCCCTTTACGAGATCCGCCCTGCCGATCCGCTGCCGGTCCCCGTGGGCTAGGCTGGGCCTCTTACCCGACTGGGCGGTGCCTTGTCCCCTATCGCATGGCACATCCCCGCACACATTCCCCGACAAACAGCCCGCCTAATCTCGTCTGCAAGTTTTCTTGTGCCCGCGCGGCCCCTGCAGGCGTCGGCGTCGGCGTCGGCATCGGCGAGAGGACAAACGCAGGTGCAGACCGAGCACAGCGACACCCGTGATGACTTCGCGACACGCGGGCAAGAGCGTCAAGAGGCCGCTCCGGTACATCCCAGGTCCCCTAAGCTCAATCATTCGCACACAATCCACGAGACGCGTCTCGCGCAGTCCCCGCAGGACCTCAATAACTCCTCAAAACATAAGCAAGACGTAATCCAGGCGTTCATAACCATCCTCAGCTCCTCACCGTGCACTCCCATTCGGTGGGAAAACGAGCAACCTGTCGCGGAGCGAGGACCGTGGAAAGCACGCACCAGGTCGTCACGATAATGGCCCATATCTATGGGTGTGTGCCAACAGAAGGCAACGTGTGTCCCATCATCAAGACACGTCAACCGTGTGATATGGCACATCCATATGACTGCAGATGTGGACCAACAGCATAGCAAGCGAAGATGGCTACTATACAACTGAAGGGTATCCTCCGAGTAATGAAGCGAGAGAGTCCAGAAATATAAAGAGAAGTACAAAGTGACACCCCATGACGCGGTTTATCGCACCCCTTTACTTGAGCGGAGAGTACGGGAGCGGCTCCAGAATGTATGAGTCCATAAACTTCGAGAAGTCTGACGTCTACACTTTTGGTTAGATCGTACCATCCGGCGCATGAATTTATCACATACCTTAGTGACTGTCTCCGACCAGCCCTCAAGCTGCCACACCTTCTCTCGGGTCTCCTTGCGTACCTGGAGGTTTCTACATGCCCGTGTCAGACTGCGACAAATAGCACGGGACAGGGCCACACGCACGGGTACTGCCACATGTGATAAACTTGGTGCAGGCGACCAATCTGCGAAAACCAAGCACCAACGGGTGCAACGAACTTCCGGCGTGCCTCAATGCCCTTGCGCCTACCATGCCGTCGGAGTCAGAGAGTGCGGACCCTGGCTCATATAAAAGGCTCCTTACCAAGCCTGTTCCCATTCGAGTAACGTGCCCGGCTTAAGCTGATACTTGCGCAACTCGAAGATGCCACCCTCTGAATGAGGCGGTGCGGTCGGGAAGAATGCGAACTCTTGGCACAGCTGTGATTCCCGCGAGTTCAAATGGGGTATCATCTTCTGGTACGCTGTCATGTACTGCCAGAGGCATCAGTGCTATACCAAGGTTACAGCATTGACGGTGCTCACCTCATTGCTTGCCCTAATCTTGGCAGTAGTCTTGTCGTAACCATCGTAGTTCTCGTACTCCAGGATGTGGACTTTGCGTCATGGTCATCAGTACGGAGAGACACACGATAGCGCAACGTGTACGTACAGAATACGTCCTGCTCGCCAACTACTACCTCCCAGCTACCTGACAGTTTTACGTGTAACGATGGATCATCCTTGATTGCAGCGTAGTAACCCTGTCTTTGGTTCGCCCTGTGTGAGCTAGCTGTGTGCAATGCACAAAACGTGTGGAGTACGTACGCGGCCTTTTTGTAATTCTCGACTTCGCTCGGCTTCACTTTGTGGACTGCACAAGACGTTTCAGGGGAAAGTCGTGGCGGAATACAGGATTACGTACCCTCAAACCCGTGGACATACTTTCCGCGGGCGACCAGCTTTGAGTGTTGCTGTATCTGAACGTCTCCTTCCTGCTGAGCTTTGGGAGAGCCGTGCAATATGGTCTAAACAGATGCAGTGAAGCTTGATTAGCAGAGACGTCCCAACGCATCAGTGGAGCTCACCTGAACGGATATAGCACGCTTGGCTTGCGATGCCAGCGACAACGAGATGGGGAGCACCGACGTGCCGAGACGTGATAACATATCTTCTGCAGAGAGTCGATGAAAAACTGGGCGTGGTTGAGCACAGAGCAGAGCACAGAACAACGAGCCTGTCGCGGTCGATGTAGAAGTAAACTGGCGTCTGGCGTGAATACGCCCGCCTCTTAAGCGCTCCGCACTAACGACGTAAGCGGGGTAGGTAAGCGAAAATGGCTATCCCGCCATCAGTGTGATCGTCCCGCGCGCACCTTCGTCGAGACCAACGCCCGACGCTTTACCTCTCCTCTTTTCACATCTTATCTGAACAGCAGATGGACTTTGAGTTCTTTAGACGACTCGGAGTTTGGTTCATTGCCGCCGTCATTGCCTGGGTGGCGAGCCTGTGGGCATCAGGCGAGCTCAAAGACAGTTTGCAGGATCTGCAGATGCGCTTGCGGCAGGTCGTGTCATTCGAGTCTACCCATCCCCACCAGCGCGTCGGATTGCTTGAAGACTTCAAACCTGTGGCGATCGAAGCGGATGTTACTGCCGTGGTCCTTAACTGGTCACGCTTTCCGAACATATTGAAGATCGCTTCGACGCTTTGCTCGCCATCGCTTGATAGCGTCATTGCGGAGGTCTTCATTTGGAACAACAACCTCAAGCTGATAACACACGACGTGCGAAATCTCATATCTCTCGGGAAACAATGAGATAATCAGCGTGCCATCATCTCTCCCAGGACTTTGTTGGTACTGGCTGCCTGAAGACAAAACTCAAGATTCATAACTCGCCGGAGAACGCATATTTCCAGGCAAGGTTCATTGCGTGCTCAGAGGCCAACACACGGTATTGCTTTATTCAGGTATGTTGGTTTGTCTAACTGTTTCTCACTGACGGTCGTACCGTTCCCAGGATGATGATTACCTGGTCATCCCTGAAGTCATCCACGCTTTACACGCTAGGATCCAGGACGTTCAATGCCCGCACAGTATCCATTTGTTGCCTCCGCACGAACACCTTTCATCGACCCTGCGTGAGATACGAGCGGAAGGCCTCTACCCGTTCCATATCTCATTTGCCTGGTTAGGATACGGTGCGATGCTTTATCGCTCCGAGGTAGCCGACTTCATGGATCTCATGCACCTACTCAACACTTCTAACGCCGAGCTCAAGATGGCCGACAACTACTACACGATCCTAAGTAACCGGTTACCGGAGATATGGTTTGATCAGGGTATTGAGCTCGGCGGCGGACAGCCCTTCACAATTGGGCGGGAAGGGGACGATAGGAACGACCGGCATATCGTAAGTGTCATCTCTATCCCCTCGAAACCGCTTCATTGACCCACCGCATGTAGTTGCGTGCCACCGAGTACCTTGCAGCCCTGCTTCGAAGCTTCGGCGCGCAGCAGTTACCGTACATCTCTCGAGACCCTGAGCAGGCCGAGGCATCAGTGGCGCGAGCAGTCTGCCGCGGTGCACGGTGCTTGCTCGAAACGAATATAGCATTGTTGCCCGGCAACCTCGAGCACGTCAGCCTTGCTCCGGGTGACATTCTGGACCTGGAGACACAGAATCGTGCACGTCTTAACGACGATGAGGCCCAATTATACTTGCAGCATCCGCCGAGTCGTGCCGTTGATGACCGCTTCGAGACGTATTTCCAGAGCTTGCATAGTGCGTGCGGTGTGTTCTGGGAAAGATCGGCCATGACAAACTCCGTCTTTTAGATGCGGCCGCAGGGGATTATCTTGTTCTGGACTACCTCCACCTGAGAGAGTTTTCATCACCCAGAGTAGTGGTGTTGGTGGAGCCAGGCCATCAGGCCATCTTCAAAGCCAGTGAATTGGACATATCCCTCGACGGGCTCACATGGGTACGACACGCGAACTTCGTGCCTGCATTCGCCACCTGCTGATTGGGCTCCGTGCAGCAACCAACAGCGCGAAGCCTTACTTGCAGGTTTCAGCCAGATAAGAAGCTGCAGAGATGTCTCCTTGACTTGTACCTAGAGCCGAGCGAGCCGCCATCGGGGTCACCTTTATCAGCTTCGTCTGCCGCCGTCAACGCGCGTTTTATGAGGCTGAGACTCACAGAGAGCCAGGAGATTCCCTGGAAGATATATGAAATATTCCTAGAATCTATGTAGTATTCATTATGAGTCGTGTGCACCAACGTTGACATATGACAGTCGTGGGCAGGCATCTTGCGACGGAGGCTTTTGCCTTAATTAATTCGGCTGGTCAATCGCGGCCCGGGTTGACAGCGGGCGCCCAGCTAGGCAACCGAATCAATACGTACTTGCATTCTTGTTATGGCCCTGTTAAGTCAGCCCCTTTCTCTCGTCTGTACCACCACGACGTTCAGCGCGGATGCCGAGCAAATCGTTGGAAACGCTTTCCCGAACGATGCTGAGGCAGGGTAGCATGCGCGGACGCTGCGTTCGCGGATTGAAGACCGCCGCGGTCACGGAGCAGGCGTATCCAGTCCCGCTGGACCAGCAACTCAGAGCCAGGGTGAGTCCGTACGTCTGATGTCCTGCGAAGCCTCGGTCTCATCCTGACAACCCTCGAACAGTCCCGGATCGCTCAAATTGATGCTGAGAAGGGTAGGGTCTCGCCGTTCCTGGTCGACACGTTCCACCGTCCGCACAATTATCTGCGCATCTCTCTGACAGAGAGATGCAATCTTCGGTGTATGCGCGCGCGTTTGTCTTCCCGTGACAGTAGCACATGCTAATGGTGGCGCGGCCTCCCAGGCTTTTACTGCATGCCGAGCGAAGGCATTGAGCTCTCGCCGAACGGGCACATCCTCACAGATGAGGAAGTTGTGCGGCTCGCGACGCTTTTTGTGCGAAACGGTGTCACGAAAATCAGGTTGACAGGTGGGGAACCGACGGTGCGCAAGGGTCTCATCCAGCTTGTCGGTGAGTTCTAGACCCTCAGTAATTCAAAGCTGTAGCCCACCCTAATCACTCGGCCCATTACGGCGCAGGCCGTCTCAACGAGCTGCGCAAGTACGGACTTGAGTCCATTGGTATCACAAGTAATGGCATCGCATTGCACCGCAAATTGCCTGACTTGATCGAGAATGGTCTCACGCACCTAAACTTGAGGTAGCTTGCTTTGAGTCAATCACGAAGTCTGTACTTACGCTTTGGATGTCTCAGTCTCGATACCTTAGATCCTTTCAAATTCGAGATCATGACGCGGCGCCCGGGTCATGAAGCCGTACTGCGCTCCTTGAACGCCGCTCTGGTCTCCCCGCTGCGTTCGGTCAAGCTGAATGCGGTAGTCATCAAGGGTCTGAACGACCACGAAGTGCTAGATTTTGTAGAGATGACCAGGGACAAGGCGATCTCAGTTAGGTTCATTGAGTTCATGCCCTTTACAGGTGGGGTTCACGCAATCCCTTTACGTTTTTGTCTGACTAAGTCTCGGATAGGCAACAAGTGGGACAAGGCGAAGATGGTGCCATCATCTGAATTACTCGGTCGCATTCAGGCGAAATATCCGGGCGTAACGAAGGCTCCAGACGAGTCCAACGACACCGCCCGGAATTATGTCATACCTGGCCATCGGGGCGGTTTCGGTCTCATCAGTAGCATGTCTGATCACTTCTGTGGTACCTGCAATCGGCTACGACTTACTGCCGACGGTCAGATTAAGGTCAGTGGTGCCGAGAGGCGACGGCTGTGTTATTCGGTGCAATTGACGGCGGAACTCTTAGGTCTGCTTATTTGATCCTAAGGAGATCTCACTGCGCGACCGGATGAGGCAGGGTGCGACGGATGAGGAACTGTTGCAGACGATTGGGCGGGCTGTTCAGGGCAAGCAGGAAAAACATGCGGGGATGGAGGACATCGACACCGTGACAAACCGTCCGATGATCCTAATTGGCGGTTGAGTACAGATCATGTTTGTCTCCACGATCTCTTTATCTAATCGCAAGTCTGATGATTCATTGGCGGTAGGACTTCGTGGCGTCCGAAAAGCGCAACCACATAGATGTATCAGTCTCCGAACACTGCTTTGTGCGCACGCAGATTACTCTGCCCCATCAATATACCAGCGTCGTCACAATTCCTCGTCGGCCGTCTCGCATCGATCGCTGCGGCTGACTCACATCGACGACGCCGGCAAGGCACACATGGTCGATGTATCAGCGAAGGAGCCATCAAAACGGACTGCGACGGCGAGCGGACGAATCCACATACCTCAAGTCGCTTACGAACTCATCTCGCAGCCTCCGACCCCGACCAGACACGGCGGAGTCTCAGAGGGCAGAGACACTCGAGAAGCCCAGAGCGCGCTTGAGCGTGCTAAATGTAAGGCGCGCGCGAAGGGCGACGTACTCACTGTCGCCCAGCTGGCGGCCATCATGGGTTGCAAACGCACGCATGAGCTGATCCCACTCTGTCACCCGCTGCAGCTGTCCCAGATCTCCGTCAAGCTGTACCCCGAAAGCGACCATGCTGTGCCCGAGGAGTCCACGTCTGCGCGTAACAAAGAAGGTTCGTCCGACGAGCTCGGCGCGCGCTCTTCGTACAGCGTATTATGTGTCGCAACCGTCACGTGCGAGGGCAAGACCGGAGTAGAGATGGAGGCGTTGACGGCGGTATCGGTGGGGCTCTTGACCGTGTGGGACATGCTCAAGGCTGTTGCTGGGCGGGAGATGATTATTGGAGATATCGCTGTGACAGAAAAAGCAGGCGGCAAGAGCGGTGATTTCACGCGCGAGGCTCTATAGGATATAGCATATATAATAGGAAAGGACGCGTGTTCTACACGAGCGATTACAGAAAGAATACTATGTAGCAGGAGAGCACTACAAGATGAGTGTCTACAGTTAATCGAAAATAGAGAACAGTGAGTCGGAAAGGATAGGATGCTGGATAATGGCTACATAAATACTAGAGATACAGTGGGGGTAGCATCGAGACAATGATCCGAAGTTGTTGAGGTAATTAGGCTGGGGTTTCCGATAATAGAGTCTAGTGAGCGTTTACCAGTGACCCCTGGCAGATCCGACGAAGCCTAGCTCGAGCGAGTCTTCGACGCCATCAACCTTTTCATCGCCGCAGAGGCCTGCAAACCCGACGCGGTGATACACTTTTTGGGCGCTGTTCTCATGTCCGACGTAGAGTACGACGCTCTCCTTCCCGCAGTCGAACAAGAGTCTGGGCGGAGCGAGCGGAAATCAGCGCGAGATCCGAACGCAGTCAGGGCCAACACTTACTGCGCGGTCACGAAGCGTACGAGAAACTCGGCGCACCCGCGACGCCTCCACCGGGGCGTCGTGTACACCTTGGTGATTGCGGACACACGGTGTGTGTTTCTGGTGACAGCGCAGATGGTCGTGAGAGCACCGTTGGCGTCGTAGACCCAGATCTGGCCCTTGGAGATGAGCTCCCTCGCTTCAATGCGTGCCCTATCAAGGGGTAGGGGGAAGTGCACCTGGAAAGGGTCCGAGAGTGTCAGCTGGGGAATGTCCCAAGCAAACAACAGTACGTACGCTGTCATCGGCGAACTCCTTGCAGAGCTGCGCAACTTGTTCGAGATCGGCTATCATCGCCCGCCGGAGGCGGTGACCAGTGGGAAGGGGTACGTTCGATGGTCTGAACGTGTTCACGTTGCAGAATGAAAAGTAAGCCGCGTAGAAGGGCTCAGGTTCGATCCTGAAGCCCGTAACTTGAGACCAATACCGTGCGAATGTCTTAACCAGGGAGGTCATGCCAAAGATCGAGAAGACACGCTCTGGACCGACGCATTGTCTGAGGTAGTCCGCGAGCTGTTCTATGCGTGGCTGGAACCAAGACGAAGAGTTCTCGCTGGGCTTCTTGGGGGACCACAAGAAGATCGGGTAGTTGCCCAATGTCCAGTCTACGCATGCCAGTACGATATCGAGCGTCGGCTGGCAGCCTGGAGACGAGCTCCACAGCGTTAGCCAGAACGCGCCGCTGGTGCGATGGGGGGCAAATGATGACGCGTCAACGGCCTCAAGACAGGCATCGACGTCTGCATCGGAGGTGAACTGGGCACCGGACAGGGCCGCTTCTGTGCTGACCCGCTTCAGGGCGTGTGCCAGTACGATGTTGGACGAAGCTTCGTGGCGACGTAGTGTAGGGTACGCGACTGCAAGGAAATCGCTTGCAGAGTCGTGCTGCATGATTACCGACGATGAATGAGCGTTGGGAGTCGTTCTGGCAGGCATGGTGGACAGAGAGCTGAGGGAGTGGATCAGCGAGGTCGCAGGGCGGGGCACCTGAAGGCACTCACTGACAATAACTAAGACAGAAATTTGTACACCACGGCGAGAGAGATCGAGAGCAAGCACTTGAGAAGACGAGGCTGGTGCAGCGACCAGGAGGACAGACCGAGACTTTATATCGCGGACCCTTGCACTGCCCGGGAATGGACCAATTGTGTGCGGCAGGATTTAGACATTTGCATGCGGAAAGTGAAATTTACGGCAGCGGCTTCCTGGACGCCAACGACCCTTGCAACCCTTGCTCGCCCCGTCGCTGCCGCCAACACAGGTAAGCTTCGTGATGTTACATCATGGCGGGCTGACCGGATGTTAGTATACCGGGTTGATGTCATCCTGAAAGTCGAGAGCCGCTGCGCCTGCGTGAAACCGCATGTGGTCAGGTACCGCCCCGCCCCGGAGGACGATGCTGGGGGCGCTTGGTGTTTTCTCTTGGTGGTAGCCGCCTCCGCTTTCGGGACGACGTCTGCGGATTTAGAGCAAGGATTGGAAGAGTCGAGCAGTCTGTCTGTGTCCCTGACCATTGCTCGACGTCGGAGACATGTCTCACGAACCTTGGGAGGGCGAATTAGCGGAGACACCCTGGAGAGCTCGGGGGACTGGAGGGCGGGGATTTGGGCTCGCACCGATCAGATCTGTGTCGAGATGGCTCCTTGTTCGGGGTGGACAGCTCTGACTCGCACGATCCAGTCATTCCTCGAAGCGGTGCTGGCCAAGATCATGGCGTTGCGGAAGAAAGGACGAATCCTGACCCAGCTCGCAACCGGGGACGCCGCACGTGACACTGGGAACAGCGGTTTCAGCCTCACGCACGGAGCGCACACGTTCATCGCTCGCTGCGCTCTCAGCCGGCCTCTCCCTCGCCTCCATGAAACGTGTGCATGCGGGCCCTAGGGTTGACTGATTTGCGTTGTCTTCCGTCTCGCGTAATTGTGCAGAAACATCGCCAGATAACCCCTTCCTCCCAGCGAGAGCCATGTGCAACGCAGCGCGCAGTACGCGGATCGCCCGCTGCATCTTCCGGTTCCCGCTCACGGCGCAAGATTAGCAAATTCTCGATGGGCCCCGTTCTTAGCCCGGGCCACCCAATGCGAGCGACCCGCCCGAGCTTCGCCGTCGCCAGGCAAACCTCTCCGAAAGCTGAAACGCGAAATCAACATCGTCTCATGACAGTCCCCAGGGTTTCGCGCACAACATTGATCTCGCGCAAAGGCGCAGATCAATATTATCGTAAGGTTCGAGCCTAGTCACACGCTCGCCTCGCGAACGGACCTTCTGAGCGAGAAATGTCACTCAGCAAACCCCCCTTGGCACTGTGCGAGGTACAGCCCCAGGGCCAGACAGCCACTGCCGAAACGGACTCGCGCTGGTTTCGCAAACCCACGGCATTCCAGTTTCTCGGTCATCAGCCGCTTGACATTTACAACAGGTACTTGGGAGAAACCCAGGGTAGTCACGTCCCAAGAGATCACCCTGACAAACCCAAGCACCCCGTGCATGCGTTCCATTTTCTCTCATCACGGCGAGCAGCTAGCTTTGGCTCAGTTGCCGATCGTTTTTCCATCCCCACGAACAGCCTCAACAGGTTCAAAACATCTGCTGGAGATATCTTCTTCGCTCACGTCAAGTGGCAGAATATTACAGAGATACTCAAAATAGCATAACCCTCCCCTTGACCCGTCAATGGCTTGAGTGTAATGCATCCTCCACCTTGCGCAACATTCCCAGAACCCTTTCTTCATTTAGCCGGCGACCAATCAGCTGCAGGCTCACCGCTGCGTTGTGATACGTCTGAGGGGCCCACTGAGCCCGAATGAACTCCTCTGTAGGATTGCGGGAATCGCTAGGCAACACGATGTCCGCCGAGACGTCGCGTGCCCGGTATTCATCGGCGTCGAGCCGCCCCACGGGGAACACAGCGGCCGAGTAGTCCATTAGGTTCCAATACGACGTGTAACCCCACCAGCGAGTGGTGTCGTGTGGAGGCGCGAGCGTCGGCGCTACCGGGCTGAGCACGGCGTCGACGGGTCGTCCGGTCCTGGTGCGGGCCTCGGTTGAGTTCCAATGCTGGAGGATCTTCGCTCGGAAGGCCTCCCGTGCCAAGTTCAAGCGGAAGATCTCTGCGACGGAGAACGGCGCGCCGTCGTTGGGTACCTGGCTCATCATCCACTCAATCTGTGGCACCGGTGGGTCGTGCGCAAGGGTTTCACGGTATTCTGCGCCACCGTCAAGGAAGTAGAGCTTGAGCTGTCGCAGTGACCCGTTCAGGGATAGAAAACTGACGGATGAGAGCTGCGACGTACAATAAGGTCCCAGGCCTCCTGATGCCCAACGGGTTCCCAAGTTATCACCTCATGTCCGGCTGCGAGTAAGGCATCTTTTGCTCGCTTTAGAGCGTCAAGAATGGGCGGATGCGGCGCGACGACGCCATCGTCCCATAGTATCGCGATGCACAGTTGATTGGGGATATCCACGCCGTCGACGACATCCTGTCTCCACGGCATCTCGATAAGCGGCGGCTCGAGCAGCCACGGCCGATATTGCAGCATGACCCGGCAGAACAGGGCGAGATCCCGCGCAGACGTTGCGATAGGTCCGAGAGCACCTTTAAAACTCAATCAATGACCACGCCCGGCTGCATCGGTGTCGGCATACCAGTGATAGCATCCATCCCATCGTGAGAGCCCAACAAGCCGGCATGTGGCATGCGGGCGACAGAGCCCTTGAGACCGTACAGGCCCATGTGGGCTGCAGGGATGCGCTGCGAAACGGTCACGTCAGGGCGGGCTACACGGAGCAAGGGAGCATAGCCCATGCCAACGTACGATTGATCCTCCAATATCTGTGCCAATACCCAAGGGGCTGCCGTGCACGGATATGAGCGCACCCTCGCCTCCGCTGCTTCCACCAGGAGTTAGTTCTACAAAGGGGGTCGGGCATCAGTGACATTAAATTGAATATTGGCAGGCGAAAAATTGCCATGACCAAAACTTACTGCGGTTAAAGGGGTTAAGCGTTCTTCCATAAATATTATTGTTTGTCTCTAAAGCCTATCACGGGGTGTGTAAGTCCGGTTTCTGCGCACGCCAACATAAGAGCAAGCACCGACCAACAACGTTTGTGGGTTCGCAGTCTTGACGTAGAGCACAGCACCCGCTTTACGCAAGATTGCAACCGCGACTGCGTCTCTGTCGGACACGGTCCTGTACGCCCATTCTGCGTAGCCCGAGGCAGTGTCGCGACCCTTGACGAGGATGTGGTCCTTGATGGACACTGGCAGACCATGCAGGGGCCCGACGGGCTTGCCCGTTTCCTGCATGTGCCGGTCGAGCTCTGTGGCGCGTTCGAGCGCCTCTCCGAAGAAGACCTCGGTCAAGCAGTTCGTCAAGCCCTGCGCGATGGTCGCGACGTGGCAGAATGCCCGTGTAACCTCCACCGCAGTGTATCGGCGCTCGCGAAGGGCCTCCACTAAGGACGTCGCGTCGTGATGGACGATCTCACGCTCGCGGGGCGTAAGCCCAGATACGGGCAGGGACGAGACATCAAGGGCAGAGTCGGGCACTTGCTTCTTTAGGTGCCAGTCCGGCCACCGTGCCAAGATAGCCTCGCGATCCGTGATCTTGCGTGTTGATATCGTTTCCCAGGCTGCCGAATGCTGTGTCGTTCTGCCCAAGACTGGGGCAGACATGACAGGAACATCAATGTGCCCAGGGAAGTCGCCGTCTGGAGGCATCGAGGGATGGGCGAGAACCTGTAATGGCGGTCGGGGCAGGTAGGTTGACCTACAGCGCGATGCAAAGAGAAAGGCTTTAAGTACCTGAATCAGGACGGAGTTTCGAGCTGATACCATTTTTTCCTCCCTCGTGTATCAAGCAAGCCCGCGATGCGATAGAGCGCCCTCGGGAAAATGGGCTGTCAATGGGAGAGTCTTCGTTCCGACGAGCAGCGGCTCCGTGGCCTGCATGATATCTAGCCACGCAAGTTGGTCTAAGGAAGACGCTGCGGCAGAAGCAGGAGTGAGTAGCGCGCTCCTGCTGGTCAGAGTTGAGCCAGACCATCACACTTGCAGGGCGGAAGGTGATCATGCGCATCGCTCAGCGCTCACAGATTGTGCGACGAATAGCATCTACAACACGGTAGATGGGCGATGTGTATAATGTTTGAGGGAGTACATGCAGTCTGCGAGATCACGATATGTTCATATTGGCGCCCCATTCGCACCATCATGGGACCACGGCAAACGAGGGAAGGCCCTGCTGGATCTCTCCTTCTACGAGCCGAGCTCCCTAAGAAATGAATCACAGCCGGGAGTACCTTAGTCAACAACAGACGATATGACCCCCAGTCGGATGGAGACACTCACGTCCTTGACTCTAATGATAGTCGGAATCGATCCGACCTTCCAGGGCTCTGCTCTGAACGGGTTGGATGGAGTCTTCCATCTGTGTGTGCGGTGCCGATAAGGCGGTTGAGTGGGCGGAGGGTTGCGAGCACCGGTCGGCAGAACGTAACGTACTGTGCGCGCTGCCCCACCCAGACGATCAACACCGACGGTGCCTCCGCGGACTCAAACGTCTTGGACACGATCTCCTCTACGTCCACGCAGTCCTAAAAGCGGTGAGTATGGATCCCCGCCTGGCACGGAGAGGCGTAAGGCTATACCGGGCACCACAGCTTGCCGTGTTCATCGCGGGAGGAATAGAACAGGATGAAGTCCTCCGTGACGCCTTCCAGGACGTCAGGTGTCGCTGGGTCGACCGTGTAGTGGATGGGCATTGCGAGGTGGTGGAAGGTACAAGGGAAAGAGGGGATGTGACTAAGGCCAGTCGCGGATTATGCATTATGAGCCATGCTCCCAAAAAAAGGCATCTCACCCGCGACCGCCCTCTCAAGATCCTTTCTTGAACGACGTCCATACCTGGCCTCGCAGAGCGCAAAAGCATACGAAAACCTGATTCCATCATTCTAGCATTATTTCGCATCATCCGCAAGAGTGTCTCCGTGGCCCGCCGCTCTAGATTGGCTTTAGGCGTGAAGACGATATCACGGGCAGTCAAATTATTGCGGTGCAGAGCAGTCAATCTCATATGCATATGTCTATGTTTTAAGCGATGAACGGTTCAACGACCCTAACTTTGATTGAGGCGACGTATATCAGCCCCTTACAAGTATTGTACACTTGCTTCAAACCTGGTCAATTTACTCGGACATACAGTATAGGCCTTTAAGCACACTGTGTTCGTCGGCCACATGTCGAGCTTTCATCAAGCCCTTCTTCAAGGCCGCTTAGGCCCCTCACCGATGGTACTCGCCGCATGCAGCATCGACGATCAGCTGGGAGATTCACCCAAAGTGAGCTGCTAACGTACGCCCGGCTCTGCAGGTGGCATATCGCACATGATGGACTGAATAAGGTATCTCCGCCGGTATTGCCCTTCTTACTGCGACCGTTGTCGTCGGAGGTCTGGTATTCCCTTGAGCTCGTATCATCTCGCAGAGTTGGGCGAAACGGCTCTTTCCGCATCAGCCGCGTGTCCACGGTCAGAGGTCGATTTTTGTTCGCAGCTCGCGCACAAGAGATGGGTGTTATGGTGTCTTGAAGGCACCCATGGGATGTGTGGGCTCTGGCTGGATTTTCTATGGCTTTGCAGGAGCGACTGAATTGCTAGGAGGGCGGCGTGTAGTTCCGTCCAAGGTCCTCCTTCACATAAACAGCGGCTTGGAGAAACGGCCTATGATAAATATAACATAGAGACAGAGAAACTACAAACCAAAGGGTGTTCAGGCGTAGTTACTGAACGTTTCTAAACCAGTCTAAAGAGATTTGAAGCACGCGTACAAAGCCTTTCGGAGAATAAATATTTTGATGGTACTCGCTTCAATTTCCAAGCTCCGCACACCTACGCATTGCGGAAAATATTGCAGTGTGTAATCGGTACATAGATAGCTCCCGTTATCAAGTCCAAACTTCTACGTAACGCTGCCTCGGATTGGGTTATTCCAACCAAAAGAAATGCCTACAGCCCTGTGCTAGCCGCTGAAAGGCTTGGCCTTGCTGAACACTCAGCCGAAAATGTCATGAACACCAGGGTCGTCGACTATTTCATGATAAGTTTCTACGAATGCAGATGGCTGCTGGGAGATAAACCAATTAGTTGAGCACGTCTCGAGGAAGTCACCCTTGGATCAAACAAGGATTCATCAGCAGGGATATATGAGGTTGACATCGGGTTGGTAGGCTGTACCGCGAGCGTCTTCTTTGACCTTGTGAGTTGCTCTCTTTGAGTCATACAGTATTCCCAGAGCTTTGCCCACAGTATTGTTCATGCATACCAGTCCGAGGTTCAACAGGACCTTCACAGATCCAGGCCCGCAGCCTTCCGAGCACCCTTCACGCCCGTCCTTTAGCATCTCTCAAAGATATGACGTTGATTGCCTCAACGAATCCAGGGATGATTACAGGACGGCACAGAAACGCTGAGAATCCTTGGCTATTACTTCATAAGATGTATGGATGACTCACTGGCCCCAGCCTGTGATAGATTCCTCTGCGTTTTCACTAAGTACTATGACAGGTCTTCCTTCCGCCCGCAAAAGTCACGATCCTCGACTAAGATCCACGCGAGGGCTACGGCGGCCCCTGTCTAGTGCTGCCACATCTTTTCCGAGTCAATAACACAAGGAACCTATGGTGATAATTATGCAAAGCAACGGAAGGTGGGTCGCGTTTGATGTCATAGTTGACACACGTCAGAGAGGGCACGCGGGGAACATTTTCAGTGTCTCGAGAGCATTTGACTTCAGCGGCCTCGTCTCAATATTCCTCGCCGCTGTCGTATGCACCATCTTCCCAACCTTCAAAATCGTGTGGGATGAATCGCATGCGGGTTTCGACGCACTAGCGTTTCCGCATGAACCAGCGGACGCCCCACAAACGGTATGTGTGACAATGTACAATCTGGGTGCATTATTGGTACTCATTGACGACTTGCACAGTTCATACCTGGTCTTCGTGATGAAAGTTCTGTCATGTACGTTTCTACACCGTCTTGTCCGTCCCAAAGCCGAGCCAAATTCGAAGGGCCAGTCATTCCCTCCCCCGGACCCACCTCCACTCGCTATCTTTATAGCATGTGCGCAAGCAGTGCACATGCCCAGAGCCAATAACTAGTTCTACTGGGTCGGGTAAGATCTCAGGACATCAAAATTCCTGCCAAGGATGAGCCGTCCGCTGGTATCCCAGCCCAAGCCGCTGAGCGCGCTTTTCTTGTGTCCACGAAGGCTTGAATGACGTTCCCTTAAGGCGTTTGGAGTCCAGTTATTATCGCCCCGGTTCGCCTTCTGCAAAGCACGTAAAAGACGATTGGAATGAACGCGAGCGTTTTTACTGCTAGGTCGTTGGTGGCCGGGAGTCTTCTAAATAGTGCTGCACCCAATTTTACACTGTAGTATATCCGACCTTCACTATCTTTGCTTCCGGTCCGTTATACCTGCTCTCGCGCCCTTATTTCAGCTACACAGTCTTCGTCATTTCATCAGGGACTGCACGAAGGCTACGACCTGACAGGCCCAGCGACCCGACACATGATCATTCTTCCCATTGTGTAAGGTCTATACCTGGTATCGCACTACACGAAAGGTGCGTAGCCCTGATTTCGTCATGCCATCACATTCTGACACGCCTACCATCGTTCGCGGGAGAGTATTCGCCGTGATCGCGACACGCAGCACACGGATTGACTTTGCGCTAAAGGCGACATCGAGGCACATTGTAAGATCGTCCCGGCCGGCAAAGCAAGGGTCAGTTATACATGACAGGGTGGCTCCTAGAGATTGATTAAAGCAGTGCTCAACAACCCCTTGCAAGCACTGTCTACATGCTGATTACAATTAAGTCCGCCCTGCACTCGAATCTCACACGCACCCTAGCTGCGCTGTCAAGAGACATGCCTTGTTCGGAACCGCACAGGCACCCCGCCGAGGATGCCTAACCCACACGGTGCCGAGGATCAGTCCGAAGAATATGTCAAGCGGGTTCCAAAATATATTTAGTATATGGTATATGCACACGCCTCGGCTTCCGTGCCGGAATGTGCACATCATATGGTCTAACACTCACTCACGATTAATCTTCGGAGGCGATTACAGCCGCCATTTCTTGGACCCTCACCTCCACGTTCGGGATGCTCACGTACCGGTTTCCGAGGGAGCGTGGAGACTCAATGTACTCAACGTGGATAACGCGCGCCGAGATAGCTGGTTTTCCGGAAGCACAAGTGACCAGGATTGGCAGCGGCTCAGGCGGGTCTGCATCGTACACAGCTGTAACAGCAAATGCCAACGTTGCTATGAAGGCACCCCAGATAACAGGAATAAACTGTACACATTCCAAGGAGCTGATGTGGGTGCCCGGAGATCAATTGTAAAACCCCGATACGCCACATTCAGGGTAACAAGTCGTTGGGAAGTTCGCAAGCCGTGCCGTACATGCACCGAGACGAACACGAGGGCCTGGAAACGGTGCCACTTGTGCAAGCAGACGCCCGTCGACAACAACGACCTCAGCAGTGGCGGGCACATATATGCCTTCTGTGGAGAATGTGTCTTCTTAAAATTGTTGGGGGCGGGGGAATTCTGATTACAATGCAATTAAATCCCCATGCGTGATTTATTTGCCAACTTGGAAGACAAAACCATCCTCGCCGAAAAACAATCTTTTTGTCCGAGCTGACTCCATTGGCAAGGTTTTGCGGGTGTGCTCGCCCTCCCAAGCGATGCGACGCTTGCTCTGTAATGTACGACCTATTTTATTTTGATTGGTGCCCGATGTACCAGGTACCCTGCACTGCTACCTGTCTACACATGCTCATATGCCTTTGCAATATTGCCAGCACGGACAAGCGAAGTCCCCTGGATTTCGTACTAGGAATAGCCGCACGATGGAGCTTACGGAAGTTAAAGGGTCTCAGCTCCCGTTGGTCGCTACCTTATCTCGACCTGTTTGCATGCGAAAGGCGATGTTAGAAGGAGGACGTTCGCATCGAAAGAATGTGAGTGCACGGTCAACCCAGATGTCACTTTTCCGCGAATGCAAACAAGTACACTACCACTCATTACCGAGCACTAGACGCACACAGACGATCACGATAGCCTAATCTACGAAAAAAGCGAAAATTGACAAGGTGCGCGGCACAAACGGTGAACTGTCCGAGGTCAAAGAGTCCAGCTGATATGCGACAGATAGGAAAGCGGGCATGAGCTCAACCAGAGAAGTGAGAAAGGTCCATGAATGGCTTATGACTGGTAGCCACTGTACGAAGTGCCGTAGCTCGGGCTATTTGTGGCCGCCGAGTATGCTGCCGATGAGGACGACGACGCGCCATAGCCATACGAGCTCACCGCAGTCGCATCAGCGGTCTGCGTCTCCATCATCATTGACGATGAGCTGCTGTACGATGGCGGAGAGTAGCCACCGCAACCTGACGAGCCGCAGCCTGCGACGGCGGTCGCATCCGCGGTTTGGGTCGCCATCGACGCATAGGTGTTATACGTGTTGCCGTTGCCGGACTGCAGCGACCAGGTGCTCTTGCACTGACTCAGGCACGTCGCAAGTGCAGTCTCGAGAACGGTCGCAGTCGCGGTCTGCGTCTGAGTCTGCGTCGCAGTTTCAGTTGCAGTCGCGGTCGAGACGTAGGTCTGCGTCTGCGTGAACGTCATGTCCTCGGTCATGGTCGCCGTCATGGTTTGCTCGACAGTCATGGTCTACGGAGTTCATCAGCGGCGTCGACAGAGAAGAGATTCGTAGGACTCACGTCATCGATGACCTGTGTGCTCACGTACACCGAAGTGTAAGTTGTCGGCTGCACGACAGTGCTGACCTGTGTGACGGTCATGAAGTCCGTCATCAGGTCGGTAACGGTCGCCGTCTGGAGGACAGTCATCTGATCGGTGACTGTGGCAGTCTGCGTCATCTCGACGGTCTCAGTCTGTGCAGACGTATTGTGAATATCCACGCAACCGAACAAACAACAACGGCACTCACGTTGTCGATGACTTGGGTGCTAACCCAAACAGACGTGTAGGTCGTGGGCTGGATAATGGTGCTGACCTGGGTCTGGGTCACGAAGTCTGTCATCGTGACCGACTGCGTCTGCGTCGCGGTGTCGGTCTCAGTCGCAGTTTGGGTGTAGATGTTGACCATCGTGCTCGTCTCGGTCGCAGTGAGTGTGTACTCGACAGTCTGCGTCTGATCGACGATATCGGTGGAAACCCAGACGCGGGTGGTTGGGACGAGCACAGTCGAGGTCATGATCTCCGTTTGCGTTTGAGTCTGGGTCTGTGTCTGCGTCGCAGTGAAAGACTCAATATCAGTCATGAGCTGGGTCACTGTTGCAGTCATCGTGACTGTCGCTGTCATGGTCTACAAAACGAGTTAAAATGAAGAAAAATTGCACTCTTAATTCACTCACGTCGGTCATGGTCTGGGTGACGGTCATGGTATCTTGCACGGTGCTTGTCACTGCACTGGTCACAGTAACTGTTTCCGTCGCGGCCGCCGCGTCCGCACACGCATTGCCGTAGCCGTAGCCGTAACCACCACCGCCGCTACGGAAATAGCGTGAGGAATTATCAATTCGCTCTTCTGGGCGGGACGCACCTGTTGTTGATGATAATGGTCTCATAACAGCCTTGTGTCTGCCACCACGACATTGCCTGGCACGAACCGTCCGACATTTTCTGGTAGCCGTACCCGCAGGCCAGACTTTGGTAGCCGCCAGCCATGAAGGACGAATAGGGCATCATCGAGTAGATGTCGTAGGAGGAGGACGAGTACGTTGGCGGGGGAGTGATCGCGGATGCGTCGGCCGTTACCACAGAGCTCGCAGATTGGGTATATGCGGCCTGGGTGTATGCGGCCTGGGTATATGCGGCCTGGGACGACGCCGCGTATCCACCAGAGGACGCTGCGGCATTGTACCCAGTAGAGATGGACGTCGCCGCGGCCGACGTTACGGGCGCTGCGCTGCCATAGACCGCAGAGTACGGAACGGCAGACACACCGTTGACTACTTGCGCAGTAGCCACGCTGACAAGGGAAAGACCAAGGAGAATTGCGTTCATGTTGATTAGATTAGCTGTCGAGGACGGTCCTGGTGCGTCTGAACAAGCAAGGAAGATGTAGCTTATCGAACGAAAGTAAGCGGTCTACGCTCGGCGGGCACTGTCTAGCAGCTGGAAGGGACTGTGGGTGCGGTGAACCTGACGGGAATCGTCAAAGCACTCTGTGTACACTCTGTCAGCGTTCCGGAAGACATTTCCGCGAAGCAGACACATACCGCGAAGAAAAGAAACAACGAGGAAAAACCGAAAGAAAGCGAAAGAGAGAGGGTGGGGACGAGGCAAGCTCGAGACCGGTTGCGAGCTTATGAAGGGCCCCGCATCACGAGATCTTTTCGAGGTCGCGTTGATCGAATCTGCGAGGCGACTGATCATGTCTCCCTAGAAACTGGCGTGCCGTTAGTCGCTCGGTCATTGATTGGACCGCCCTTCCGCCTCATCCGTGATTGGTCGAGCATCTCTACCCCTTGTTCCTCCCGCGGGCGCGGTCTAGGCCGTGAAACGTTCGCATGCTCGCCGTGCGTGTGGAAACCGTATATTCTACCGCACAACCAGTCCGAATAATTACACCGTCCAAAGTCATATAAGCATGAAATGAAGCGTCTCTACGACTATGCACTGCGGGGACCGAAGTTACCATGAACGTCCAATAGAATCCGAAGGGCATTTCGGGCACGTATCCTCGCCATATCTTCTGGTTGCGATGTGAATGCCGTTTCCACAGCCTTGGGTTCGTCTTTGAATGGATACTACAGCCACACACATCATTACCCTGTGATAACGAGACATTTCCGCTAACACTTACTGGCACGAACTGTTGCAACCATCTATTTAGAGACATCATCTCCCGGGTATAATGATGTGAGAGACCCACCTTGTGCAGGTATTCGTACGCCACCAAGGTGAAGCCGAATTGCGGACTGCTACGGATAATCCGGGCAGGGCCGCCCTTGAAGAGCGCTTTGAAGCCTTCTTCCCGGTCTGACGGCGAGCGCCCGCATCGAGGTACGTCAATCAAAGTCCAATTGGCTGCCTAGCAACCAACTCACATATCTTCGAGAACGCATCAATCATGCCCTTGTAATTCGTCTGCCCAGTCTTGGCTTCCGTCTGCAGGCGGGTCTTGACGACATCTACACGCGGACAGCCTCAAGGTCAATAATTGACAGTGATTGACAAGCCCATGATACTCACCCGCAGGCGTCGTGAGGTAGGCTGCTGGCATGCCGCTATATAAGTATTAGTAACAGCTATACGAGACACTATCCATCGCCGATGGATGGGAACTGTCTGACTTACGCAATCGCAGCAGATGCCAAGGTCTCAAAAAAGGATAGCTGCTTCCCGTTATAACCCTCGTGGAACATATCCTTTTTGAGGTGGGCGTATGTCGGGAAGTAGATAGCCGAGAATGGGATGTCGCGAAGCAGGCACGCCGACGCACCCTTGTAAAGACCGACTAGACCAAGTTGACGAACGATGTGGACCGCGCCCTTCGACACAGCACCCTCGAGCTTCGCAGCCTCGCCTTGCATCTGAAGACGAATCTTCCTGTAGAACCAACGCAGTATTGGCGATCAGCGGTACGAAGTTGAGGTAAGGATTATCGGTCTTACACAATTTCCAAGGGGTTCGTGAAAATCTACAAAAGAAAAAATTACTTCCCAGCACCAAGCACTGTAAAAAAAGTGCAACGTACAACTTGGCATCCACCAGCACCACCTCCAGCAACGAGCTCCCACCCTAGCTTGATTCTACCTGTCTCTGGGTCCATTGCCCTCTTGCGAACAAAGTCATTGACAGTCAGCTTGATGGCCTTCTCCGGTGCGACACCCTGAACAGAACTGTATCAGCCTATATGACAGTAGTGTTTTTGAGGCTGTACCAACAATCAGCTGGGGGCCAAGGCCACGATAGAAACCAAGAAAGCCCTCGTTGTGGAACACTTTCCTAACGCAATCAAGGCTGTTCTTGTAAAGCAGTTGACCAACGACGGTGCTACGTTGGTTCTGCATCCGGGTCTGTAACATTTCTAGCATCAGCGGCGCGTCAGCAACTAGGCCAGTAGCATCATACCTTGACAAGATCGATAGGATATACTATCGTCGCACCGATCGCGCCAGCAATACCTAGGGCACCATCAGTCAGGCTCTTAGCAATGTTCATATAAGAACTTACCTCCCAACCCGAAGTTGTACGCCGACTGCGCGATTTCGTGAATGATGGACATCGCAGTTAACGAGCCGGTGACCGCCTTCTCTCCAACTTCAGTCGGGGCGTTCCATCGCGGGTCAAGGAGCTGTGCGAAGTCAATGAGTGCAAGACGTTGCTGGGAACTGCCCCGTCCTGCAAAGTGGAAGATGATGGAGGCCTCCATAGGTGTGAAGAGAGCATAGCGGGTGCTGGCCGCGCAGTGGTTGAGGAAGTCGGACTGGTCAATCCGGCCATCTTTTGACTTCGCAGTTGCTTCACGAATGATACTGGCAGCCCGTCAAGCGACGATATTATATGTCATGGCGCGAAACTTACCGTTCGACCATGTCCATTTCTATGTGGAGCAAGAAAAATCATTCGTTCATTGTCAAGAATATATTCAGCGTGGTCTGCCCACCTCTTACGACGTTGTGGAAAGCGTTTACTTCTGAATATGTGATGCGGCCACCTGGGGTAAGGGTGCAAAGAGTGGGTAACCTCTGGATAACCGCATCAGAGAGTTTGTGGCCTGCAATTTCCTGGCGCTCATTCAGCCGCGTTAGCAGAACCTAGTAGAAGGTGCCACATACCATAATGATACGCTTGAACTGGTCGGGCCGAATGAAGCCATCCTGGTCTTGATCGAGATACTTGAAAGCCTGGCGGAGACGCTCGCCCTGCAAGCCCTTCATCATCTGGGTAAATTCGCTATCTATGGCCAGCTATTAGATGCAAGGTAACGACGACGATCCACGCATGCGCACATCCGAGTACATGAGTGCCGTTCTTCTTGCCGAGGTAGAGCTTCACCCAGTCACTTAGTGCGATATCTCAGCAGCAGCGCGTGGCAAGACCAGTAAAAACGCGTACCAGTCGAAGTCGAAGGGAATCGACTCGGCCGCAATTGTTGCCTTGAACACGTTTTTGAACTCGTCATACGTGATGGTACCCGAGTTGTCCCTTCATGAGCGAATTTAGCCAGAGAACGTTGGAATGGCAAGATGAGGGCGCACACGTCAAAGTATTCGAAGGCAATCCAATAGTCAGCATCGGGCCGCTTCAGGATGGTCTCGAAGATGACGAAGTCATCCCAGGAGACGAGACCCCGCTTGGTGCTGTCTGCGACACGGAAAAGGGTCGCATACTGTGTACGTCCCGTTTTGGTCAAATCCGACTTCGGCGCGATCGCGTTCACGAACTGCTCAACGTTGAGGAATCTGAAGAGAGGACCAGGTTCACATTTCTCGGATCTTATGCATGCAGTTAAGACGGACGCACTTTTCGCTCTCAATCACGGTCTGCGCATTCGTGTCAAAAGTCTTTCTCCACCTCTTGAGTTCGTTCTGGGGTACAGACATCGCGGTCTTGACGGTCTGCACGGCAGTCACTGCCTTCGAGGCGATAGATGTCTGTGGAGGGGTATCGCAATGGATGGTAGACATTAGCGGAGCCATTTTTGGCGGCGAGGTTGTTGAACGGGCTATGCGCTGTCTCTAGTGGACTGGTCGCCTGGTATAGGTGGTATAGAGCCTCCAGCCGCGTCTAGGAATCTAAGCTCTAGGATTAGGGAAGGATAGGACGTAGTCTAGCACAGAATCTGCTGTGCGTCTTGGGGGGTCGAGGCGAAGGAGAGACAAGAAGAGATGAGCGGGGAGCTTGAGCGTTGGCGGCGTTGCTTTGCGTTCTGCCTTTCGCGCGGGGTTAGAGCTGACTAAGCATGATTTGACCGCACTTCATATAAACTAACAGCCACGAGACTCGGGTGCAAGCATCCTACGAATAATCGCGCAGCGTATTGGGAGGTAGATAGTATGAAGATATTAGCAGAAGACCCAGTATAAACACCCAATACAATCTCTAAAGACTACGCTTCGAAGGCCACTTCTCGTGGGAGCCGGAAGCTGATGCAGTACATCTCCTTACTGGGAGCCACGGACCGTACATGATAGTAAGAAACCTCATCGCCCAGAGAATGTCCAAGTTCATGTTCGACACGCTAGTAAAGAATAGGCGAAGATGAGACTCCGTTGATGAGACAACAAGCAAAGCACATACTTGGCGTATATCCGCAGCTGCCTTCTCCGGTTCCAGCTCGCGCGTAAAGCAGTAGCAGTGGACCATCGGCATCTCTGCGTAAAGCCCGCTTAAATCCCGTCCGCCTACATTTACCGGCGACAATAGTCCACGGAATGCACCGAGGAACAGGATAGCGGTATCCGGCAGGTTCATCACGAATTGCGTCACGCGAGTTCGCGTAGGTGCCGAAGGCGAAGATGAGCCGCGGCTTTGACCACAGCTCTGACTGTGTTTTGTTTGCTGCAGCGCCTTTCTTTTCTGCGTTTTGCTCATGGGAGGTGCCGCCGGGGGCATAGGACAATCTAAGGCGCGAGTAATAATGGCTCTTATAAAGTCTTTACCATCTTCGCAAGACGGGCGAACCAGCTCGTCGACCTGTGTATAAGTAGAGGTCAGACAGCGCGCCGCACAGCCAATGCATGCGCTCACATTGTTCTTCGTGACATTAAGCTTCAAATATTTAAAGCTCTCCGGGTTCAAATCGTTTGCGAAGACTCCACAGCCTTTCCTGCCGGCAGGAATAGCGAAGGGACCAACACCAGCGAACACATCCGCTATGATATCCTCAGGCTTGAACAGTTCGATAATGCGACCATGTTCTGAATGCAGCCGCGAGTTCCAATAGACTTTTGTGAAGTCGAAGAGGAATGTGCATTCCGTTTCATGCTGCGAGGGTTCATAGGGAGCGATATCAAGGAGAACACACAGGCGCACGTACATGTTCGACAATGTAGTCAGGCTCGCCAGCAATTAGCTCCATGTCGAATACACGGAATTTGTTTTGGATCACATCAAGTTTATTGACGACAGTTTTTATTCCTCTGACTTTCTAGAAGTATTCGTGAGCATCCAGCCAAGCAGCAGGACGCACTGCGTACGTCGAGGATAATCTGACCAATGGTATGCTTGTAGGGCAAGTATTGATCGCGGAGGTTCAGATGTGCTATGGGTAATCGTGAGATGTCTGCCGTGCGGACACAGAAGAACCTTGGTGCCCGCAGAGCGTACCTATATGACCAACAGCCGCGAACCCAGACGGTGCTTCTTCTACGAGCTCTTCAGGTAGAACTGAAGAGATAATATCATCTGCGGGATCGCATGAGCTGTGAATCAGGGATATCAAATCATCGGACTGACTCGCCGTCCAGTAATCATACGTGAGCTCGAGCTTATGGACCACCAGAGAAAGCTTCTCTTCGTCAAGGAAGTCCTTCGCTTGCCGAGGCAGGTCATCTGTCGCAGTGTGTGTTTGGTATGTGAACGCCTGGCAGCGTCACAGTAACGTGAAGACATACCTTCCTGCTGCACTCTGAGCAGAACGAGTCGGTCGCCATCCGGCGCGCGTGCTGCACTCGGGACGCGAGGCAAGTCAAGGATACAACTGATGATCCTGGTCAAACAAGCATTGAAGGTATGTGCGTAGCCCCATACCTTTGAAGAGGAGCAGCCCTTAGTATGCTGCCTGTCCTTTGTGGCGCCACCTTTGCGGCAAGGACCTCGATGGTCTTGCGGAACGCGTCCTTGTCTAGCCTCTCCACCATGCCCCGGTTTATTGGAGGCAATGCATCCAGGGTATTACTGGGTTTCATAGTAAGTGCGGTACGGATCTGAAAGAGCGAAGGTCTGGCAGGAGGTCGAAACAGAGATTTTTTGCAGACCTTCTGCGGCAAGGTCATGGAGAGAGCAGAGGTACCAACAAATTGATACGCGCCAAGTTGCCTCCCGGCTGCCACCTTCGCTACTTACCTTGCCATACTTCTTGGCCTCCACCACCCAGCGACATTTTCATTGCTTGAACTTGCCAAGCTGCTTAGATGTGCCAGACTGACTCTAATGAAAACTCTGGCCACCCAACTGCATCTTCTGCACTTCCAGCACCAGCTGACGTCCTTGCTCACATCGTCGATGTCCACTGCCACCCGACCGACTCGGTCATCTCAGACGATGTTATGCGCTCTCTACCCATCCGTATCTGTGCCATGGCGACACGCGGGAACGACCAAGCTCTCGTGGTATCTCTCGCGCGGGCCCACCCGAACAAAGTGATCCCTTGCTTCGGTCTGTAGCCCTCCTCTGTGTCTGGGCAGCACATCGACGATTTTTGGCACGTCTGTCGCTCACGCCAGGCTCTGCAGGCTACCATCCTTGGTTTACGCACTGGATCGCTGTCCGCCCGTATGAGTCGCGGGAGGCACACTACCGCTCCTTGTTCCTTCCCGAACCCGCGCCGAAAGCGCAGAGCGTCGAAGCTTTCGAAAAACTCCTCTCCTCTCTGCCTGACCCAACGCTACTCTCCGATGTAATTGCAGAGCTCGAAGCGAATCTGGCTGTGTTTCCCGACGCCATGCTCGGCGAAGTCGGGCTCGACCGCGCGTGCCGCATACCGTACGCCCCGCCGTCCCCTCCACCTTATGTCCTAAACGACAACAGGCGCGACCTGTCGCCGTTCACCATCCCACTGGAGCACCAGCTTGCCGTACTCGAAGCGCAATTTAACTTGGCTGTGAAGCTGAAGCGGAATGTTAGCTTTCACAGTGTGAAGAGCCAACAGGCAACGGCGGAGCTTCTGGATAGGTTAAAAGCGAGGCATGGCGAGGCATGGTATAAAATCAGCGTTGATATGCACAGCTGTGGATTGAGTACACAGACATGGAAGGACATTGAGGTAAGCTAGCTATCTTGCACCGCAGTGTCACTGCCTGTTGACATGCGGCTTTCAAGAGGAAACACAATAACGTTTTCCTTTCTCTCTCCACTGTCATTAACTCGCGATCGCCGAATCACAGAGAACTCATCCGCGAGTGCTCTCCGAAGCGACTCATGGCTGAGTCAGATTACAACAATGCGGCTCACCTGACCTCTCAAACCTGGGATATGGTCCAGACCATTTCAGAAGTCAAGGGCTGGCCCATCGAGGATCGCTGGGAAGATGACCTTCCTGAGGAAAGGTGGGGCGTAGTCCGTCACCTTGAGCGTAACTTCCATCTTTTTCAGCGTGGGGCTCATCCGCCGATACGAAAGAAGGACCGTCGCAAGCTTCTCCTAGAAGACTGGGAGACTGATGACGGGTCAGGCCCTCATAGGGTGTAGATAAGAAATTCCAGGGCCAAGTACTATACACTGTTTTACATATATGCGCAGTGCTGTCCACTTGTACAGAAGAAGGCGACACAGCAAACATCGCCACAAGTAAATTTACAGAATGCTCCAAGAAATCGGCGACGGAAGTGATGCATAAAAACATGATAAGTAAGCCGAAGAAGCGCGGACGGGGTATATGTCAGTCCAGAGACATAAAAAATTATGCAAGGTTGAAAAAAGCAGGAAGGCTCCGCCATAGCTCGCGTCGCTTCTTTTCTGCTAGTTGCGAGATCTCCGATGTGCAGGTCTCGCATGGCAGGTCGTTGTTCGTGAATAACTCGTTCAGCGACATGCAATCGTGGAGGATCTCGAGCGGGTCGTCCATCGACACCGGCGCGTTCTCCTGCATGTACTTCCAGCAGTCGCTTCGTGCACGCGAGCACCCTTGCGAGTTGCGGGGACACCGTATCCCGAAGATGTCGGTGCCGATGGCGCGTGTGTACGCTGCGAGAAGCTTCTGTCCGTGCACGAGACGCATGAGGTCCCGCTTGTCGAGCAGCTTCCAGCGCGCAGTGCGCGCGCCAAAGCGGAGGTGCTTCCCCTCAGTGGTGAGGTTGGTGCGGTAGCCGTCCCAATCCGCATCTGTGCTTATCAGCGAGAGCTGGTAGAATGCAGCCGGGAGGATGCTCGGGATGTTGAAGTCCGACGCGATGCGAATCGTCGAAGCGGGTTCGGGAAGGCGATCGTCGAGATACAGGCCATCGACCTTGCCGTTGGTGCGGAGGTAGTGCTCGGAGCGGGCTATGATCGTCTCCTGTCGTCGCGCGTCCCACTGGGCGAGCGTTTGGGGCCAGTCGGCTTCGATGTTCTCGACTACGCGAGAGCGCAGCGCTTCGCATTCGTACTTGATCGCAAGCTTGAGCGTCCCGTGCACGAGCACGGGAGTGTTGGGACAAAATCGTTTATAAGCTGTCCCGCTTCGTTCGCGCGTGCAAACCGGGCTTAGACACTGATCATGAGATAGAAGGAGGAAGAGGGGCGTACAGAGGGTCATACAACACTCCAAGAAGGCTTCCCAGTTCTTCTGCGCTGTCCGGCATCTCAACGTGGAGGACGCCGTCGTAACATTCGTCGTCGGCTGGTGGTATTTGGAACATCTCCTCGAGGACGGGGGAGTAGCGACAGAGGATAGAACGATGTACGCGGAAGTACCGTCGCTGACCGTCTGCAGCCACAGCAGAGAGCACGACATTACCGTCCTCGAAGTAGAGTGTGGGGTGGTGCTGTGCGGGGAAGACCATGTCTGTGGATACCATCTGGTGCCACGTCGCTGTGCTATACTCTGGTCCACATCATGAGTGTACTCGTCGCCTCGTATGACCCAGTGCTCGCGTACCAAGGAGCGTGATGGATATTCGAGTCGCTTAAGCTCTCGACGTTATCCTCGTCTGTCTGGGTAAGAAGGCGACAAAGTGGGTGCAATAGGGGAGATCGCGGGGAGTAGGAGTAAGGTTAGCATGGAGGATGAGACTGTATAAATAAGCCGCGACTGCAGAAGTGTCGACTTCCACGATCTGAATCTGGTCCGAAGCCAACGCCGTCACTTCGGCGTTACCCGACGTACCAGCAGGATTCAGATGGTTGGCTGCGCTCACCTTTCCTTATTGATGCTCTGCCACCACGGCTAATCATGTCAGAGTACGATTCACTCCATCGACAGTGCAGGACGCTGGAGTCCCTGTTTGATACGAAGCTCACTTCCTACGCCCGGCTTGCATCGACTATCACGCGGAGCCAAGACGACGTGGAGGCCGGCGGTTCAGCAGAGCGATGGAAGGACCTTGAGATAGAGGTTGAGGAGCTCTTACAAAAGGTGCGGTGATATCACTACCGTTACGCCCTGTTGATGCCCTAACCCATTATCTGCACGGGCATAGCTCGGTGAGCTGAATGACAAGCTCGGTGCTTTGTCAAACGATCCCGATGGTCCACCGTCCCAGTCTATGCTCCGCGCAATACAGCGCCACAGAGAAGTGTATCAAGACTATTCCAAAGAGTTCAGGAGGACCAAGGTACGTGAGGCAAACTGCTCCTGGAGACCGAACCGCTTACTGCGTTCTTACCGAAGGCAAATGTCCAACATGCCTTGGATCAAGCCAACCTTCTTAGCGGCGTACGCAATGACATAGAGTGTGCCTTGCAACTTTCGCTTGTTCACCCCTCACTAAATCTGGGCGTTGCAGTGCATACAAGTCTTCTGCTGCAGACTCGCTCCTGGCTGAGCGAGATCACATTGACAGTTCTCATCGGATGACGGACGACATGCTTGCGTACGTCCCCTCTACGATACTCAGCACTGACCGTCATTGGTAACGATGTTACACTAGACAAGCGTATGAAACGAGGGCTGACTTTGCTCGACAGCGGTCGACGCTATCAGGAATTCAGACTCGCATGACTGGTGTGCTAAGTAAGCATGTACCGTCGATTCCTTCCGAAGCTGCTTTTTAACTGTGGCGCAGACATGATACCCGGGATCAACAATTTGCTTTCCATGATCAAGACTCGTCGACGAAGGGACGCTATCATTATTGGATGCATCATCGGACTGTGCACTGTATTGCTGTTGTCATATGTGTTTTGATCAAGATATGCTATTACTATTTGCTACTGGTACAGGATACAGGACATGTAACTACACTTTGAAAGCTTTCAAACTTGATGCATTATGAGTACAAGAGCACGTCAAATAATCGTACACATCATCTTCGTCAAACCGCTCATCATTACACCCCAAAGTTCTTGCTGACCGGCTGAGAGATCTTCATGCCACCGGCCTTATTTCCGGTGGACATGCGACGTGATGGCATGTTTCCCTCGCCGCGCTTGTGCTGCGCCTCCTTTAGCCTGCGCTCATGCTCGGATAGACCACGGTGCTTCTCGCGCTGCGGCTGCTCTTCCTCGTGTTGGTGGTGTTCGTGTGCCACCTGTTCACCGGGTGCAGCAGGTCGGGGGTAGTCATCCGGCCCTGTGTCGTTCTGGGCAGTGTCTGAAGCGGGCTTCTGCTCGCTATAGGGGGTTGCATGAGAGGGCGAGATGGTAGCTGTTGTTGCTAGGTGCTCACATGTGCGCAGCGTGCGGTCTCTGACGGTTCGTCATAGACATGCGTCGACCGCCGACCTTCTCTGTTATTCAACGCGCGCTTCAGCAGCTTAGTTTATATGAGGAGACGTATGAAACGTACGCGCAGGAGGGTGGGGCGGGACGTGCTCAGGCAAGGGCGTCGACTTTGTTCGTTCGAGGGGAGCAGACATCGTGGGTGATGTGGTCGCGAGAGCCGTACTACGCGCATTTATGTGGAGGCACCCGTGGGGCCTGGTCACGCTTGGCCAGAGGTCAGCGGGTCGGCCTCGATTGAATCCAGAAGTTGGCATTGGGGCGCGTTGCCAAATGAGGCAGGTATAGTATTACACTGCTGCGCAGCTCGAGTACACGGGCGGACGTAGAAGTTACAGTTTTCATTCTTCTTTCTGCCGGGCAATGCTTTCTGCCCGTACGTCCTCTGCTATCTGTACTATGTAGTGATGTGTACGAGGCATCACGAGGAACCCAGCGACAATGACAACAGGGAGCAGCAGTCCCAGCACTGGTAAGACCGAAGCAGGAAGAACACCCAGGTACAATGGCTCCACACGGAGCGTAAACGGGACCTCTAAGGGACTCGAGTGCACAGAGGATAGTGCACGTACGCCCGTGTCTACCACCCGAATACGAGCGTAATGCCGTCGCGTCCTGCGACCGCCAGCAACATTCGTTTTGGTAGTGTTCTGTGCAACTGTTTGATGCCATTCCGACGAAGGCGGACCATCCAAATGAGGCGGTGCTTCGATGTGAAAGTCTGCAGGGTACTGCAAATGTCATTCCACGATGCATATAACGATTGCAAGACGATGCATCTCTTACGTTCGCCGGCCAGGAGACGCGCAGAGTGAATTTGGTGAAGTCTCGCCAAAGCGGATGGTCGAAATCCAGCACTATCCAGACTTCGTGGGGACAGTCGGGCACCGGAGCATTATGGTTTGTATCCGGCGTCTCCGGGCCAAATATCCGAGTGCGACAGACATGCTTCGAAGGCGTGCCCAGCGGTGCTGATGTCAAGATAAATTTTCGTTCAGGGAAGTATGGAGACAGCGCCTCCCTATTAGCAATGGGCAGTGGTTAGTGTCCTAGGCACTGCATATCAGCAACCATGAGAACGTACCACGGTGGGAGCAGTTCATGTGCACTGAGTTCGGTTTCCACAGCTTCGATATTTATAATTTCTGTATTAGCTTTAGCACAGCCCCAAATACATGCCAGAATGAGAAGATAAAGCCGTGTCAAGATGAAGTACATCGCGGATGACGACCGCGTCCGCGAACAAGTTGCTCCGATTGGGCGTCTGCGCTGAGCACGCTTTCCCACACTTCATTTCCGCTTTCGCAAATCCCGCGTCAAAGATTCCTGAGAGTCCATTCCGTCTTCCGTCTCTTACCCTCACTCAATCTCGCACCTACACCATGACGGTCTCCATAACCTTGCCTCTCGACGAGTCAGACACGCTCTGCACGCAAGACCAGATGCTGGTGAAGCCCACGGTGCTTCCACCGACGCCTCCTTCGTCTCATTCTTCCCGTTCGTCGTCTCCTTCGCCGATCGTGGAGAACAACACCACTGGCGAGCAGGCCTGTTCAGCCAAAAAGAAAAAGAAAAAGAAGAGCAAGAAGTCCGCGAAGGCGAAAGAGGCCGCGGCAAAGGGCAGAGAAGCGGACGAAGTCGAAGACCGTCCACCTGTGCTTTGTATCAGCCGCAATAAGCATTGGCGATATATCAGCTCCTACCACGTACGTGTGGTATTGTCGAGCGCATTAACTGCTCTTATATTGTATTCCGCGCGTATAGGGGCCCTGGCTACAGCTCCCTGTCGAGCTGCTTGAGTCTCTGCTTGTCATAAACCTCGATCCGGCCACTTTGCAGTCCTCGGCTGAGACACGCTCTCCCGCGCTTCCCCCTTCCACGCCCAGTTTTGAAAGTCGTCTTACACGTCGCCTACAAGGATTTGCAAGCCTTGGAGACCACTCTCCCCCCGACTCGCCACATAGTACTTTTGCGCAATTACCTCCACCCCCGCCCTTGCCTTCCCCGAAACCTGGGAAAGCTACACCGCCTCCTATAGACCCTGGAGTCTTCAGGTCTGTCACACAGATACGAAGGCTCATAGACGAAGCTTCAGAACTGTCTGTTCGAGCCTCATCCGGCCTGTCAGCTGCAGCGCTTGGGTCCATGAGTCGCAACTCAGCTTTCAATCAAAGCTCTTGGAGTTTGGCCCACTCCCTAGGCCTTGCAGGTGTAGCCGACAACAACGGACGGAACGTTGCCATGTCGGCTATGCGTGTTCACAGACTTCGAGCGTTGGCTGTACAGAAGCTCGCGGCGGCCTACAGAGCAGACGAGATTGCTTCTAGCGTTATGGTCATGCAGGGCGGCAGTGTGTTTGATGATATTGCCGAACGCGTGCTTAGGGCTGGTGCGTGCGCTCCGATCTGCTTCTCCAGGTCGTATTCAGACGATCTTTCCAGATCCGAACGATATCGATGCGCGTTACGTTCATTTCTTCCACGAACGAATTCCATCCAGGTAGAGTCTTTGCTACGTAGCGTTTCGCCAAACCTAACATCCTTCCTCCTACTGTCCTAGGCAGCTGGCCCAGTCCACGTCGACGACGGTGCTGGACAGCCTCATAGCTGCCCAGCCGCACCGCCTTGAGTTTTTCCGCACTCGTGGGACAGTGCACTGTTTCCGCGACGAGTTCGCGCCAGCGATCAAGGACTTCACACACGTCCTCCGGGAAGCACGTGCACAGCGCAAGGCGAGGATGATGCACCGTACCAACGGCATTTCCAGCGAACAACGCGGCAGGGGCAAGAAGAAGAGAGGGAAGCAGGCCAATTCTAGGACTAATGGTCAGGCGCCTGCCAATGGCACCAGCACGCCGCCTGAAGGACCGACTATCGACGGGCCCGACGGGGAGCCTTTGCTGCTCCATCCATCGGTCCTTCCAGATGCCCCAGATCCTATCGAACCACAGTGCCTCTTTTTGCGTGGCGCGGCTTATCTCCAGCACGCCGTGTGCCTGATCGAGCAGGCTATTCTCGAGCTTGAAGGCATCAAGAAGGAGCTTACTCCCGAAGGCGCTGAACTTAGGCTGTGCTATCTCGATGGTGGCAGATATGGCGGCGTTGAGATTGGGAATCCCGACGGACCCCTGGGAAGCAAAGACGGCGTGAAACTTAAGGCGTACCGCGAGGTGCTTACCAATGAGGGTATCAAAGAACAGGTTCTAGGCCTGGTCAAGAAGAGCATACGTGACCACGAACGATTCCTCTCTCACTTTGATACTCTCGAGGGAGCCCCAATTGATCCTGCAGACGATGTGGACTGGTCGACCAAAGTTGAGCACGCCTTCCTGTTGTCTCAAAGCTACCGTCCCGGTAGCCCGAATCCGCCCCCACCGCCTCTTCATCCTGACGCGCCAGTTATGTTCACGACGTACCATCCTCTGCTGGTCGAGTCTCACTTCAGCATCCTCATTGGCCAGATCCTGCTCGGCGACTTCCCCTCTCTGGTTCCTTCCTTCTACCGTTCCGCCATGCTAGTGGATGGGCTCGAAGGCTATCCCATCTTCTTGCCCCCGCGCTCAATGGCGCAAGCCGAGTTCATCGAGATCCTCGAACGCCTCGCGGGCGGTTGGCGGACGGGCGTGCAGCCGCATTCGTTTATGCGTTCCTCAAGCCTCGCGTTGGAGCTGCACTCGCGCTCGGCCAAGGCCAAGACCAAGGAGGCCGAACGCCCGCTGATGATTATTGCGCCCGAGCCGATCTCTGCCTGTACATCGAGCTCATTGAGCACGCTCGTCCTCGGTGTGAATGGCTCGAGCTCGAGTACGGCGGTGCACCCGCCTAGTCCATCGTCGGGCCGCGCGACGCCTCCGCGCGGCGTCGACCTCGCCGAAAGCCTCGACTTTGCGCGCATGCTGCTCGTGCCGGTTGCGAGGGCTCAGAAGGAGCGTGACGAGAAAGTGGAGGCGGAGAAGGCGGCGGAGCGCATGGCAGGCAAGGCGGCGAAGAAGCCGCTGAGCATCAACATCCCGCTCCATGGCCCGCGCGTGGAGGTCGCCATGGCCTGGCTCGGGGCAGTGCATTTGCCGGACTTGGAGTCGGTTGCGTGAAGGAGCAGGGGAGCGATCAAAGCTGTGATCTTGTTTAGTTTGGGCTTGCTATGCGCTACTTTTGAGTGCGCTATGTCGTATTGTAGAGGCTTTTTTAAGTTATGTCTGTGGTCTGGACGTTCTTAGCTACTGTACATGTCATCTAGTCTCTCGGCCGTCATTGACATGCTAAATACTAGGCCCCGTTGTTGATTTTGTCTCGTGCGGCCGACCTTTGAGGAACGCTTCATGCAACATTGCTTGTCCAAACCACTCCTCCGCATCGCCCGTTCGCGTAAGGTGTGATATTTCAGTGGAAGAGTCTAAATCGCAGTGCGGAAGTGTAGGGTACATGGGTAAAAATGTCACAGGAAAAATCGACATGCCGCAACATCCGTAGAATGCATTACGACACTTCCTAGCCTGGTTGGGCCGTGGCCATGCTCTCGAGAGAACAGGACAACAACGTGTCACTGGCACTGGTTTCGACCGTAGAGGAGTGCTAACATCGACCAGCGTGGCATATCTCTCTTGGAGAGAAGAGAAAGCGCAGGCTTGCGACGCAAATTTTATACGCGGACGGAGCTCGAAGTGTACAACCCCGCACGGCAGTTTGCGGTCCTCTTGTCGGATGTGAGGTCAAGCGCCAGGAGCAACAATCTGAACTTGACGGCGGGCTGAGCGGGAGCGATGTTGAGTGCACGTATTGCACAAAGTGCGTAGCAGTTCTTCTGCTTGCGTGCAGTCCTGTATAGAACATAGACTCTGCAGGTTCGCGCCTGGTCGCTTCCACAAGTGCTGCTCCGGCAACAGGAGCCTTCCACTCTTCCGCTGTCGCTCATGCCAAGGTCAAGTCGCGTCAGGAGACAAACATCAAGGGTCGGGATGAGCGTGCGCGCAAAGAGGCTCTAAATCGACCACACGTCGTTCTTGGTCACCGTCCGGGCGACGAGGCGAAATGGCGCAACTGCGACCTCGCGAAAATCCTAGTGACGGAGAAGGACATCGAGGCCGCGGCCCCAGTGCCCAACACTGTACCGGATGGCGCAGAGGAGGTTGTCGTGCCGCAGTTCTTGAACTACGGTCTCAAGGACAAGGAACGCCAGAAGCTGTTCGAGACGTTACCTGTGCTCACCGCGGAGGCCCGGGTGATGCGGGATCTCGAGCAGTCTCACCAGCTCCTTCCGCAGGAGATGATCACCGTTGCGGAAAGGGCACAGAAGGAGGGTGAGGCGGCACAGCTCTACAAGGCGCAGCTACTTGCGAGGATTGTCGACCTCCGGAATGCGAACGCACGCGGTATCGCGTACGAGAACCGACAGCGGTGTATCGCAGAGTTCTCAGAATCTGGCAAGCTGAATGATACAGGCCGGCCAGAAGTTCAAGGTATGTCTCGTAGTCTGCCATCTATGATGCAGTTCACTTATGCCGTCAACGCTAGCTGCGATATTGACCATGCGGATACGGAACGTGTGGGATCATCTCATGCGGAGCAAAAAAGATATTGCAGGCCGACGTAGTCTGCGGTCGCTCGTGCACCAACGGGCGAAAATCCTCAAGTACTTGAAGCGGCTTGACCAAGACCGATACGAGGCTGTCCTCGAACGACTCGGTTTAGAGCCCGCAGCTGTTGAGGGCGAGCTGGTCGTTTAGAGCTTACGGTACTCTGATTTATATCTTGGTTCAATATTCATTTATTGGTGCTACACCAGCTCGACAGTGGGACCGGGTGTCATCATCTTCTCCGACATGGCAATTGCTCGCGCGTGCACAACGTTCCTAAATTGCGAATTGGTGACCCACAGCTCGCGTTGAATGTGGGTTCACGAATAACTGCTCTACGTCCTCTCACAACTGTCTGCAAGTGCTTCCGCACGTAGGTAATCACTTCTCGCGTCACATTCATGATCTGCCCATTGCTCCACACCATGCTTATGAAAAGTGCGCGATCATCTCATATATCTCGGCGCGGGGATGTAAGGAGTCTGTAAACGGAACATCGGTGATTACTTCACAAATACTCTCTGCGCCTCTTGAGGGCGGTATGCAATTTTCCCTTCCCAAGTGTCATATAGGGATGTTCTGAGCTGCTTAGGCGAAAGCATTCGACGATCTCTGGACGCAGGAGAGCGAAGCACGGGGTGCTGAGGTTAAGGTTTGCAGGGGCCGGTTAAGCGCCCCTCGGTCCTCCGGGCGGGAGTACCGAATTGAGACAGGTCTCTGTGCTACCCGAGGCAGCCTCAGCGCAAGGGGCCGCCGCTCTTTGCACACTAACAACGCTCTTATACACCCCAAGGATGGCTGCGGTCACAGGTGTGTGCCCCCCAAACCCTCAAATTCTGCGGCTGACATGCGCTTTCCTCGCTTCTCTTGTTGGCGGGTCCCAGACAACAGCAGCCATGCCATGGTTGATTTCCCCTCCATTGACGGTGCAAAGCCGGCTGTACTCGCTCCAGACATACAAATAGCACCCACAACGCACCTTCCTTTTCGCCGGATATCTCTCCCCTCCGCTCCGAACCTGCAGAGACAGTCTATTGCCAGTCTTGCGTCATACGACTCGATACCCGAGGGACCACAGTCGCCTGCGACTGCAACTCCCCTGGCCAGGCCACCGTCCAGGGGGTCAAAGCGTCCAGGAGCATCCGTTGATTCCGCCAAACGTCCGCTTCGGCGCAAGGAGATCAAGTCCGCAGTGATGGACGAACAGAGAGAAGCGAAAAGACGCAGAGTGATTAATGAGCTGTATGAAACCGAGCGAACATATGTCGACGGTCTGGACCTCATCTATTCGGTGAGTTCTGCTCATATGCGCATGCTGAGACTGCTAATCTGTCGATAGCATTTCCTGACGCCTATCATTGCCTCATTGGACACTCCCAATCAGCTCTTGGATCGCGCTGAGCTCACGTCGGTCTTTTCCAATTTCATTGACATTTGGAATCTCCATCGTTCATTTTATTCGTCGCTATCTTCTGCTCTCAATGCTTCATCCTCAACGCTCCAAGAGCAGGCACAGCTTCCACCTATCTCTCCCATCTTGCACTCTCATTTTCCGTATCTCTCACTATACACTCCTTTCGTCTCCTCCTTCTCCGATGCTCTTACATCGTACAATGCTCTGCTTTCGAAACACTCCGATTTTGCTTTGTTCATGTCGACTCAAGAAGCCGACCCTCGCTGCGGGAAGCTCAAGTTCCGGGACTGGCTCCTCACTATTGTGCAGAGATGCCCCAGATACCTCCTGTTGCTCAAAGATCTCATCAGCTGCACAGAACAAGAGGATCCGGAACACTCCAGCCTGATTGCTGCGCATACACTTGTATCTAAGAGTGAGTTCTGCCGTCTTTTAACGTACCTGTCGCTCATAAACCGTCATAGTTACGGAATCGCTCAATGCGTCCCTACACACCCATGTTCAAACCTTGGATCTGCTAGCACTCCAACGCAGCACTGTCGGTCTTCCTTTTCAGCTCATTGCTCCGGGCCGCACATTCCTTAAGCGTGGCCCTCTCCTCCAAGTCGGGGGCTCCACGGCTCGGGGACGCGAATTTTTACTGTTCTCGGACTCCCTCGTCTGGTTGTCTAATGCAGACAAGACCGATGATGCGGAACGGCAGCGCCACTGGGAGCAGCTCGTCAGCGAGCCGCCCCGTAGTCCAAACAAGCGACCGATGCTATCGCGTTCGCGGAGCAAGAGTGACGCAGACTTAGTGACGCAAGCGGCGCTGAAACGCAATAGCTCCGCAGGTCTCAGACTCAAGCTTTCCGGGCCGTCGCAGTTGAAGAAACGTCTATCGGGCATCGGCGCTACGGAAGAGAAGTGGGTGTACAAGGGTCACATCGAGCTGGTCGACCTTGAGGTCGTGCTCGGTTCACCTGGCGAGCCGAGCGAACACTTACGTCTTGAGGTTCTTAGTCCGCGCAAATCCTTTGCTCTGTATGCCTGCAGACAAGAAGAGCGCGACCAGTGGGCAAGCGCTATCCGGAATGCCAAGGCGTCTTTGCTGGTGTCGCTCAACTCCATGTACCCGAACTCCACGCTGACCTCGTCTGCCTCGACGAACCACCTCCGGCACGCGTTACAGGCTTTGCCGTACTCACCGGACGTGGAGTCGAAGAACCCGCAGCGAGGCAGGGTGGAACACTTTGTGCCGGCTGTTTGGATACCGGACAGCAAGACCGAGAGTTGCATGCGGTGCGGGCGAGCATTTGGTTGGCGGAGGAGGCGGCATCATTGCAGACTTTGTGGCCGATGTGTCTGTCACAGCTGTTCTACCAAAGTGAGCCCAATGAATTCAGGTGGTTCATCCCGTTGACGTTCACCTTCCCCAGACATTCTTCATCGTGGACTCGGATGACGCGAAGCCGAAGCAGGACCACAAACCTGCGCGGGCCTGTGATGCCTGCTACGACACTGTCTTCCCTGTGATGAGCGCTGCGCCCGAGTCTGCAGCCACGACAGCAACGATATCACGTCTCACTCTCTCCGGTCTCCGGTCCATGCCTTCCTTACTTACTGAAGATGGTATTCAGCCATCACCGTCAGTTCTGATGGCCATCGACATCGAGCCAGTTATGAGGCGCCAGCGCTCTAAGGCTGACATGCGCTTACCTCCAATGCAACCTATGCCCTCTCGTGAACCGTCCGACGGTCCATCGCGTCCTGCAATTAGGATCAAGACTTCGTCACGCCCACGGAGTTTCATTGACATCGTGCAGGACTTGCACGACTCGCCTGGTGAGGCATCGTCACCGACAGGAAAGAGTCCCCTCATCCCACGGTTTAGCCACGGCGGCGCTGAGCCGTCGTTCATGCTCGATGACCTCGAAGAAGACGAGGAGGATGCCGAGGGATCTAATCAGCATGGTTCGAGCACGCTGAGCTCTCGTTCAGACCTTGCGGTGTCGAGCAGCTTGCCACCCTCTCCGCTTCCTGCTGCGGTCATCGCAGCACGGAGGGAGGATACGGCGCGGCGGCGGAAACGGTTCTCGCTTCCCGCGGTCGCGATCAACACGACGCCGGTCACGACGAAGTCGAACGTCATCGGCGAGGGCAAGACCAAAAGGTGGTCGCTCTTGCTCGGGAATATAAAGACAAACGGCAGCGAATTCGTGCATGACGTTGCCGCAGGGAAATTGACCGAGTTGCTTGGGAGACATGCGAAGCCCGAGGCGGCTGGATAGGCGTTGCTCGAACACGGCTGGAGGGTCTTGCTGTCTCCAACTTTACAGAGATATCAATTGCCTTCCACGACTGCCATCCTCGCCCTATAATTTTTCCCATCTTCATTTATCGCATAGTTCAAGGACATGAACATCCGTGTATTGCCACTTATGTGTATATAATTGAATCCGATTAGATGTGTAGCTGTGAGCGTGCTCATTCGTCTGCGAGAGCAGTACACGTTAATGTTTACTGTTCTGATCGTCAACCTGCGGATGATGCAGCCTTTTGAAGTAGGGACGACCCGCATAGGTCTACCAGTCCGTAGGCGTCCAACATAAACCAAAAGAAGTTCTAACCATCCTCCATGTAGTAATGTCGCTCGTTCATCCAAATCGAGAGGAGCTCATAGCGAGATGACCCGTCCCCCGCCGTTGGCCAGGACTCCGGAGCTGTTGGGGGATAGGCACACCGTGCTGCCCCAGATATCCACATCGAGGACGAGGAATGCACCTGTTTTCGCAATCCCAAGATCGTGTGGTACCGTGACACGAGGAGGAAAAGCAAAGGCGGCCGACTGTACTTCGAGCCGAATCGCTCATCATTGGGAGTAACCGATGCGGCACATCTTATGCTGAGAGAGCGCTGAGAAACAGACTTGCTTACATAACCTAGCGCGGTGCCGAAAATCTCTCGCGGAGGACTTCCTGATCTGGACATGTTGGAAAGATAGACACACCTCGCTTCGCTCCCCGTCCGTGATAACAAACTAACAGACCTCTCCCCATAGTCAACAGGCTCGCTAAATTGATAGATGCCGCCTTGGCATAATGGCGTGAACTCTTGCTGCAATCCCGACCTAGTACAAGGCAAGAGGCTTTTTTAAAACTCGCTGTACCAGTTTTTAACGCGTACACCTTCACACGCTCCATAAATTCTCGACCGCAATCGTTGACAAGCACAGTCTGAAAAGGCTGTTGTTTGACAATCCTGCAGTAGAACGACATCATGGTTCCCAGTGCAGCGTCACAAGAGGGCAGTGCCTTGTTGCGAAGTTACAGCCAGTTGCGAAACGATAGGCCACCCCAGGTTTTTTTTTTCGCTACGGCAATTGCAGTTCCGCTCGGTGATCTCCTTGCATCACGTAGCAGACGCTTTGCCGTGCACCGTCGTAAGCGTTGAATACTGACTGCGGGTGCGCCTTGTGCTATTTAGGAATGTGTCGCCAAAGGTTGACCATGGCCAGTGTAAGGAAGCAGAGGCATCGGGGTTGTGAGCTTTGGATGCGACTCGTTCAGCGGTTCATCGTCGTTCACGCTCAGCGCTCACAAGGCCGATGAGCGTCCGATGTTGTCAGGCGGCCATGTAGCCGCCCTGTATCTCGCTCTAGATCTAGGTCAGAGCATCAGTCACTGTACTAGCTAAGGTTTCAAAGTGGCCTATCGTTTCGCAACTGGCTGTAAGCGGTCCTGCAGCCTTGGCGCTCTGAAACTGTAAAATGAAAGATGGGCGCGGCATCTTATGGCCGCATGGGACGAACAGCTCTCCACTCTGATTTTCCCCCACCTTGCTATCGATGCTGGCCCGTCTCGCGAACGCGCTCCGCCGGATAGACTCGAGCTACGAGCTCCTGCCGACCACGGAGCGGGTTTTCGGCTACGGTAGGGCTCGTGCACAATATCACCCACGCTGGCGGGTGTGGAGGCGATTTTGCGCAATCACGATGCTCTTTGCTATTGTCTTGACCACCGTCGCGTTCACAGCTCTGTTCGCGTTCGTCCCGAAGAGCTCGTGGATTTGGAGGACGAGGTGGCTAGCGGTGCTCTTTGGGCCGAAGCCGCTGCCGCCGCTGTACCCCGAATTCAGAAAAGCGGAGCTTGCGCTTCCCCAGCACCATGTCAAGGATCCGTTTGCCGATGGGCAGAAGTATCTCTGGGTTGCAAGTCACACCTGGTGTGAGTGTTACTCTCTGCATACACACGAGTGGTCATTCAACCCCGGTGTACAGGGTCGGGCTGGGGTAACTTTATGCAGGACATGATTTTGACGGCACACCTGACCTACCGGTCTGGACGAACGTGCGTATCTCAGGCGCCCTCCGCAACCTAATCTTGACTGACGACATTCCTCCAGATATGTATTCGACGATTACACCTGGGACAAGCACGGCCCCGCATACGCTCTGTTTGATAATAAACGATGGATACCCTCACGTATACCACTATCTGCTTTGATATCAGGTCGGTTCATCATGGCCCGACGGTACCACTTGTTGACTCACCCTCGCCGATAGGCCCCATTGTAGGCGGACCCTTTACAGATGTCGACGCCACCCCGCGGGCCATTGCTAAGGCTCACTGGGACAAGATCTGCCCTAAACCCACCAAAATTAACTCTGAGGAGGTCCGTGCGATACATGGCTCAGGAGCAAACGCCGCCAGGATTGAGGAAGCATGGCTCGGGTATCTCAGCAAGATCGATGATCCCTGTGTCGAAGTCACCGAGAACTCGGGGAACATCTTCCACTACTTGTAAGCGTCTCTACACGTTCATTATCCTGCGCAGTGATTCAGTTTGCGTAGCATGTTTGGAAACAAGGATGAGATGCTGCCCATCTGGCCGTCGCTCTCGACATCGCCGATCCTTACGCTGTTTGGCTGGTCGACGCTAGCGCACCAGGGCTTTGAAGCGAATCGACACCTCTTTTCGCCGGCTACGCTGCATCAGCCCCACACTTCCGACTCTGCATGCCCGCACTGTGTCGATCCCTTCACTCCGCTCGATGGCTTGCTTGCACTTCATTTGCGTCGAGGAGATTTTATTCAGCACTGCCCGAATCTCTGCCACTGGGGCGCAAACTTCAATGCCTTTAACCGCTTCCCCGAGCTCCCCGACCAATGGGTCAAGCCAGACGGCCCCATTGAGGAGAGCATGCCAGTCTACATGCGGCGGTGCCTGCCGACAATCGAGCAGATTGTCGAGAAGGTCGAGGAATTGCGTGCGAGCACGGGCGGGCGGGGGCTCAAGAACATCTACATCATGACAAACGGCGAGCACGAGTGGCTCGCGGACCTGAAGGCGGCGCTTCGACACGCACACGCATGGGAGCACATTGCGACGAGTCGCGACATGAGGCTCACGCCCGAGCAGAAGTACGTCTCGCAGGCGATGGACATGCTCATCGGGGAGCGCGCGCAGGTGTTTGTGGGCAACGGCGTGCGTTCTATTCTACTCTGTCTGTCTGTTCGCGCCTAGGGCTGACGCGTTTGGTCGTGGCAGTTCTCAAGCCTGACGTCGAACATCGCAATGCTGCGCATGGTCCGGAGAATCGCTCCGGACACGACCAGGATGTGGTAAGCTTGACAGGTGGCGCGGTCGTCGGGCCCCATGTTGCCGTTAGCTTTACAAGCACAGTCACAAGTCACGGCGACAAGTGGCCGTTCGCAAGGAGGGTCGCATATGGTGTGTGGTAGCCGTCGCTTGGAAACGGCACTGCATAATGTACCGTGTGTGTGCAGGTCCCGTGGAAGCGTGTTTGGTAGATCAGGTTACGATGGCGCAGCGCTCCTTCGCAGTCTTCTGACAAGTGCGGGCCAGTCTGCGAATCCCGGTCGCGGGCGATTTAGCAAGCAAGCCCTAACGTGCAGAGTAGCTCGCTAGGCTTTGTGACCTGGTTATTGTGGCGAGTTCGGCTAATGCAGAGCTTGTGTACGTCCGCGTGCAGCCGATATTTATGCATGTACGAGCCATTTGTGAAGACTCCCTGTTTGAAGGGAGGCAAGCGGAGATCGAATGTCCCGGCTAAGCTGGCTTATTTGGGCTCGAACTTACTATAAGTCGAACTTTGAAATTTGTCCGCCAGCTTCTGCCGCCTATCAAACCTTGTTGTTGTCGGGGCCGCCCACACTCCCGACGGTAGCAAATCCTGCACGTTGAAACGGCGATCCTATATATGCTCCAAGAGATTCCAACTCGGGCAGTGTGTGAGGCGGAGCACCTTATCTTCAAAAACTCTCCGAACTTTCGCGAGGCGGTAGGCGCTTGATGCCTATCGGCCAGGCTCCGTTGGGTAGAACTTGCTCTCTGCCATATTGTATGCAATATCACACATAGTAGACGATTATGCGGTAGCAACAGAAGACGTGACGTGACGCTTTATAGCGGGAAAACGGTCATATCTGGTGTGCGGCTTAGTGCCAACAAGAGACCGCCGTAAGGCGATAGCTTGTGCAGAAATTAGCAGCCAGAGGATTGTAACGTGTGACATTGAAACAAATAAGAAGCGGCTCTAACGGTATGTGATACGTGACGTTGGTCCCGCACGATGAAGGGTTCTCCGGGTCCCGACGCCTAATGAAGGGCGCTTGCTGGTCGACTTCCTGCTTCTACCACCTCGAGCACATAAGTGGCCAGCCGAAAATGTTCAAACGATTTATAGGTGAGCTTTGTGTCGCATTATTGGGATCATACATTTAATTACTCTGGTGTTCGTTCACAACAAGACCCAAACTAGAGACGTGACCACGCACTGCATAACCAGCCATCTAATTTCCTTTCACCCCTGGATCAAACGTATATTCTCCCTGCACCGGTGGTGTCACGTCATGTCGTAGGCGCGTGTATTTCGTCAACTACCGCGTCCTGATCGTAGCCCAAGAGTTGCCATGCTGCCGTGTCCTACAACAGTTCCTTCCATCACCGCGTCCCGACAACGTTGTCTCTTCAGTTTCCATTCAGTGCTACATACAAGCCTGCTTTTATGCATCCTTCACCAGCAATACTCGGATTTGGCCTAGTTCGCAGTTCGGCACTCGTCGTGGCCGGTCGGTTCCCTCCGGACATGTCGTCTGTAACCCGTGACTCGGTTCTCAGGCTTGGAATCCGGGACCTGAGCGACCGCAACGCAAGTCATCACTTGTATTACCATACAACCATCCATGCGCAGGCTCAAGCGGAAGCTACAAAGCAGCGAGACCAAAGATGCCGCCTACACCGCCATCAGTGACATCAGGGAAAAACGCCAGCGCCACACAGCGCTTCGGGTGCTACGGGGTTCTGGTAGACTGTAGAATGGTACCCAATTCAGCAGCCCTCTGTGGCTCTCGCTGCGCCTCCGTGGCACCAGTAGCTACCCGCCTTTGCTCAGTAGTTCACCGCAGTATGGCAGTAGCTTGTTTGTAGGTGCGAGTAGATTGTTAACACTTTCGGGGGCGCACACAATCACACCATAGATGTTAATGAGGGAAAACATATATTTAAACATATATTATGTTAGGTACATGTTGGTATGCTACAACTCCCTCTCATAGTCATATACTCATGATAACTTCAGCAGTGTAAACGGTAAGCACAAGAGTAAATCTGCAGCATGAGTTAGAGCTATTCATGGTAACAACAGAGAAGGTAGTACTCACCTAAGTGCCAGGCTCTTCAGCGGTGGTCACCCTACTCAGCCTGGAAAGTGGTATTGGACTTGATAGTTATGAGGGACATGGTGGAAAGATCAGCATAGCTGGATTTCCATGAGCTAGCGCAAGGTTAGCTCGGTAATAGCCAAGTTGTGCAGAGAAAATACTTACCTTGTCCGCCACCTGTATAATCCTGCCATCCGCGTCCACCTGTATCCGAGTCTAGCATGTGCACATGCTAGCCTGATAGGTCCAAAAATTAGTGATATGCTGGCTAAAGAAAGAATATAATGGCAGAGGACGACCCGGCCCTCCGCAGCCCCTTGCAGTTCGTGATGCTTACCGCGCAGTCCACAAGCTCCTTACCTGTCGAGACAGGGCACGGCCCTAGGGCGCAATGTCATTTTTCGTGCTTGCTCCACCGATGGTAACACGGCATGTCGGTAGCAGTATGCTTGGGGTCCAGGGATATCGCGAGCTTCGACTACCACGGCCAGCTCTTGTCTGTTCTTCCAGAGTCCCATGGAAGGCGGAGGGTCAGTGACGGCTATAGTCTCGGCAGTATACTGAAGGGAGGGTCGAGCTGCATTACCATGGGCTGGTGTGGAAGCTGGGACGATGAGATGTTCGAGCGCTTACCTTCGTCCGTCGCGTCATCATCCAACACTTTAGGGCAGACGTCTTTGTACTTCGGCAGACGCCTCTTGAACGTTTGAACATCCACACAAGTTTGCCTTGGAGTGCTGCTCTTTGGTGCATTTATCTAATTTTAGTCCAGTAATGACATGGGTATGTGTCCCGCATACAGATTTGCACATTGTAGCTTGAATAACCAATATATAATTTCTGGCAACACTGTAGTGACCCCTAAACTGTGTGCACTGCCGCTGGGTACTACCAGGCACTCCTGAGCCTCTACGCGTGCGCTACCCGACAAGGGCAGATGCGGTGGCTCAGGGTAGCAAGCGCCCTCGCTACGTAGTCAGACGCTGTTTCCTGCTGCAGCGGTCTCCAGTGTGCTCTGGACGTGTTCAAGGACGTTGCGGGTGATCTTGGCGTACCGGGCCTACAGAAGGGTGTTACCGGTCTATCTACAGTTTTAGCGATGATCCAGGTACGTGTCGTGTTTTCATCTCTCTCGAAAGGGCTGCTCATGGCCATACCAGAAATCGCACGCAAATACGAAGGTTGTCAACGACCTAGCTGAGAAGATCGGAGAATTGATCACAGTGGTGAAGGAGTACGCGGAACTCTATGGCTCGAACATATCCTCTGCGATGCAGATCAGAGTCGATCGACTGCTGTCGTGAGTCTTGTTATGGTAGCCGGTTTCCAAGTGTTCACCTGGCACAGTTCTTGGAAGGCCATCAGCGACGAAGCTGTAGGCCTTAAATCTCGGCAGAAATTTTTAAGGATACTAGAGAGCGACGAGGAAGCAAATAAAATTACTGGCTTTGTACAAAGGCTATCATGGTCGATCCAGAGTTTTACGGTATGGATGATCAGCATTTCAGTAACCTGTGCCCACTAACGGTTTGATCCGCATGAGCACAGCCAGCGTGGTGCCAGCAATCAGCCCCTCGCCCATTCCTGCCACAAGTGAGCACGACTCCATGCCGGAGACCATTCCCGACACATCAGCCATGGTTACAGCCTCAGAGCACATCGCAATACACACCACTGTAGAGCATATGGTCGTCGCCGGTGCTAGTTGTGCAGCCGCCGTCCCACGAAAGCCCTCCACCCTCAGTGATCCTTTACCGCTGCCAGCTGGCCCATCTGGCCTCACACGGTCAGAGCGGATTTTTGCACTAGCAACAGGCCTGCATCCGCAGTCCTTAAAAATCAGCTACGGCGACGAGTTCTACCTCTTCATGCGCTTGCGTGCAGAGAACCAGTGGTGGACCTGCGGCATGAGCCCTCGGGCTTACGTTGAATGCACTAACATCTATAATCGTGAGCTTTGCAGGCTCACGCAGAACAAAGGGCATGCATTCGTGCCAAAAAATCCCCGTGCTTTGTACGACAAACTTGGTGACATTGAGAAGACTGTCCTGACGCGCATTCAGAATAACAGCTATAAGTGTACGTACCTCTGACACCTGGTTTAACTGGAATCATTGCTGACAAGCATGCTTCTAGCGAGAGAAGGATCTGAGAGCTTTTGGCAGCATCACTGCTTCGCCGTACCGCTCGGAAAGGGCACAGACACGAAGTCCCCCGGGGCCGATTCTGGTGCGAAGCCCAAGAAGGGTAAAAAGGTAAGTACATGGTAACTTGAACACCTGCGTGTACACTTATTAATGTGGCGTATCGTGTGTAGCGTGGCTCTTGCACTCGCTGCATGGCCATTTTATACCCTAATGGCCCTGGAGGTAAGGGAAACCATGGGCGAGACTGTTGCTCCGATGGTTTTCCTGTGCGCTTCAACGATGAAAGCATCAAA